TACCGGGGAGCCGCGAAAGTGCAACAAACGACCCCCAAATGTCAGAGACCCCACAATTTGAAACCGTGCGACCAGATTCGTTAAATATCGACGAAATCACAAAACCTGCAACAACCAAAGTAAAAGACAAGACAGCAACGACAGGAAAGAAAAAAGAAGGAGATACAGAGGATGAAGAAGAAAGAACAGGTTACACAATAGTAGGAAGAAGGCGAAAGATTAAAATAAAACCTAACTTAAACAAAGAAAATTCAAGATCAAGGTAAAGATCAAATACAAGAAAAATAGACACTTAACATTTAAAATGTTTAATATAGCTACATATAACGTAAACAAACTCCGAAATCTCAATAAAATAGATCTAGTGTTCAAACAGCTAAGCTTACTCAATACATCGATTGCACGTCTCCAAGAAACTTATTGGGACGAAGATCTTATCCAAACAGTGTCAAAAAAATGGAATGGCTCAGTTTTATATAATAACTTTAATAACAACACTAATAGCCGCGGAACTGCCATCCTATTCACAGATACTTTCCTAACTAAAATTTCGATTGACAACATCAAGAAAGACAGCGAAGGTCGAATTCTTAGCGTAAAATTTACTCATAATCAACATGAACAGAAAATTAACGTTATTAGTATATATGCACCCAACAACGACAGCGACCGCGCCAACTTCTATTTATCACTATACAATTATGTTGATCAAAATTACGAAACTATTATATGTGGAGACTTCAATGAAATCATGGACCCAGTATTTGATCAAGCCGTAGGCATGAATACCTTTTGTCCGAGGACTGTACAAAAGCTACAAGCTTTTCTTGAATTTGCAACATTGATAGATCTATGGCGAAACAGAAACCCAGACAAAAGGGAATTCACCAGACGGCAGTACGTTAATGGTTGTTTATAACAATCCCGAATAGACCACTTCTTAGTAAGTAGAAAATTATTAGAGTATATAATAAGTTGTTATATTAAGCACATATCCTATAGCGATCACGATTTACTACTTTTAAAACTAGAATTTGGGTGTCGAGATAAGGGTCCAGGGTTGTTCATTCACAACAATACTCATCTTAAAGATTGTAATTATGTACAATCAATCGAACAATTGATTATTAGTAGCAAAGACTGTCCTCTCTATGAAAATGAAATATCGATATGGTAGGACAACCTAAAATAAAAACATAAAGGTCAATCGATACACAGAAACGAATTTGTGAAACAAATTAAGTTAGAAAACGATTTAAAGAGAGAATACAGCAAATTGTCTAAAAATCAAAATCATGATCAATGTAAGTTAAAAGAATTAGAAATAGAATTAGAAGATATTAATAGATATAAATGTGAGGGCGCTATCCTACGATCTTAAAGTAAGCTAGCGCTCGATTCAGACAGAAACACGCAGTTCTTCCTAGGTCCGGAAATCTCAAAATAAAACAAACAGACTATCCATAGTTTAATTAACGAAAAAGGAAAGACTGTCTATGATACTAAAGATATATTAGAAACACAGACATCCTTTTACGCAAAACTCTATCAAAAAGAAGAGATATGTACGGAAAAACAAAATACATTAATAGAGCTTATCAACATCAAACTTTCAGAAACCGAAAAAGAACTGTGTGAGGCTGATTTTAAGCTAAATGAATTTACAAATGCATTAAAGGCAATGAAACGTAATAGGTCACCAGGCCTTGGTGGTCTAACCGTCGAGTTCTACTTATGTTTCTGGAAAATTATTGGCCCCATATTATTAAAGGTAATAAATAATCTAAACGTACAGGGAGAACTAACCAGATCCATGCGGAGTGGAGTTATCTCCCTGTTTTTTCAAAAATAAAGGCGATAAGCAAGACCTCAAAAATTGGAAACCAATTACGTTGCTCAACGTTGACTATAAGCTGATTTCCAAAGTCCTAGCAACCAGACTAAAATCAGTAGTTGGTAATCTGATATCAAAAGATCAATCATGCAGTATACCCGGAAGGGATATTCTTAACAACATATGTTCCATAAGAGACGTAATCGATTTTATATTAGATAGAGATGACACAGCCTTTATTGTTAAATTAGATCAAATGAAGGCCTTTGATATGGTGTCACATGATTACCTATATAATATATTAGAAAAATTTGGTTTTGGTACTAAGTTTATTAATAACATAAAATTGTTATACAACAACATTAGAAGCTGTACGAAATCAAATGGACATCTGTCAAAAATGTTTCACGTGGTCCGTCAAGGGTGTCCGATATCAGGCCTCCTCTATATTCTATGCGCTGAACCCTTATCCCTACTTTTTAAGTCAAATTCGCGGATACGAGGTATCGATATTAATGGTAATACATCCCTGGTCTATCGACACTCAGACGATACCTCTATTACCGTCCCGAACATAAGTTCAGTGACAGAAATCTTTTCATGTGTTGAAACATACTCATGTTGCACTGGAGATAAAATTAACAAAAGCAAATAAGAAGTGCTAGTAATCTCAAATTCCAGACGGCAAGTCAATCTGAAATGCGATGCTTCCATCAAATACGAGGCTATCGAAATTTTAGGCATATTTATAGATCCCGATAAAGTACTATGTGAACAAAAAAACTTTAATAACAAATTGACTAAAATTAAACAGCTACTAGGTCTATGGACTAAAAGACAACTTACTCTACAAAGAAAAGCTTCTGTCATTCAATCGCTTATAGTGTCCAAGATACTATACACAGTATCAATCTGTCCAGTTTCTAACTGGTTTATACAGGAGTTTTCAAGTACTATCAATAAATTCCTTTGGAACAATAATCCACCCAAGATTAAACACGCAACAGTGATAGGCACTTCCCAAGATGGCGGATTAAATCTCCCAGACACCTCTTTAAAGATTGCCGCTTTGCGACTTAATATGGTTAGAAAATATTTTGATACAGATATATCATGTATATGGAAGGAATGTATGACACTTTTTCTAAAACAGTATAAAGGCATGAATCTGAGCCATAATGTCTTCCATATACTACTTGATCATAAATTTGTTAAGTTACTACCTCCATTTTATCAAGAAATATTAGAAGCATGGTATACCTTATCAGGTAATCAGTTTATAGAACCTGATAACTATAACGACATAATAAATCAACCCTTATTCGATAATAGTTACACAGTAAATAACAATAAACCGTTATATTTTGAATCATTTATAAATGCAGGTATCAAACAAGTAGCAGATATATCTTATATGTACGTTCCCAATTTCTTACCGAGTGACGTCATTATAGACGAAACACACGATCACGACCCTGAAATAAATGAAAATGTCATAGAACAAAAATACGAACTACTATTAGCAACCATTCCACAAAAGTGGAAAGACGTCATAAATACTAGGTGTAAGCATGAGCAGTCTGACCCAAAACTTAGTTTTAGAATCGTAAAAAAGGTATGTAATTCTGACTGTCTAACAACAAAATTCGTATATAATATCCTAAGAAAAGTAAAATTCAAAGAGGCATCCTCCATCCCCTTCTGGGAAGCCCAAAGTATTGTACTTGATGACGAAGCCTGGAAAAGACACACATCTAGATGGAAAGACTACCAAACAATAGAACTAGATTTTAAAATTTTACACAACATAGTATATACAAAAGATAAATTATTTAGATTCAATATTACAGAAAATGATTTATGTCCAGTATGTTTTCAAGAAGTAGTAGATCTTAGACACCTATTTATATTTTGTTCATGTATTACTGCATTTAAAGAATATATCTATAAGAGATATTGTAGAAGTTTTCTATCCAAATACGAATATTTCAATATCGGAGTTCGAATATTTTTTATTGTTTGGTGTAAAGAGTAAAAATAATAAACACCATATATTTCTAAACTTAGTATTAGCCTTTTATAGACAAGTAGTGTATATACAAAGAATGTCCTTTTTAAAAAAAAAAAGAGAACAATTCTGAATCAAAAGTCATTATTCCAGAAAAAGATGTTAAATCATTTAAATTATGTCATGTTACACGACACTTTAAAAATTTCAAGTCTAATATTACCAGGCAATACGTATATTAATGTAGAAAACAATATGATATTACACAATTTTCCTTCTTATATAGATTATATTAATTTAAAAAATGTTGATAAAATGACACCAATAGATATATATATATATATATATTAGTAGAATGAAATTATTATGTAAGAAGAGGCTGAAAAAAGAAGATAAATGTAGAAGCCATGAGATTATATACAATGGCTTTATAAACAGCATCGACTTTTACTTTGTTCAAAATTGTACATAAAATGTAACTTTAAACAGAACATGTAAAAAATAGATTATAACTACGTTTTGCTCCCTGTATCTGTTATTACCTTTACACTTGTTAATATGTTAACCTTATACTTTGAATAAAAATGTTAAAAAAAAAATCACGTCTGCTTAACACGCAGAAGCTGTCCGGGCAAAATTTCCCTCATAGCAAACTGTATACTGTATGGCGTATGCCCGTCTTCATTAGCCCAGGTTAGGAGCAGAACAGTGGGACGTTAAACTCCATTTCATTTCATTTCATTTCAACACGCAGAAGGTCGTGAGTTCGAGCCTCGCCGAAACCTTGGAATTTTTGTTTCCCCGGTCCAAGAGAAGCCATATAAACTTAACTGTCAGTCCAGAAAGCTAGTCTGTCGGTTCTGTGGTGTAGTGGTTATCACGTCTGCTTTACACGCAGAAGGCCGCGAATTCGAGCCTCGCCAGAACCTGTCAATTTGGTAGCCGACGCATCGTGCTGCAGTTGAAACCGCCAGCAATCACAGAGTGGTTATGGCCGACCGTCCGGCGAATTTCAGCTGCAGGTGAAGGCCGCATCAGCGGGCAAACCCGCCTGCTCGGTTTGGTGGGGAGTTCCGTCTCCCCACCCCCCTCCTTTTTCTCTTTCTGGTGGCAGCGCGAAAATGGCTTCAGCCCTGCCTCTAAAAGGGAGAATCAAGGGGTTCGGTAGTGTAGTGGTTATCACGCTCGCCTGACACGCGAGAGGTCCTAGGTTCGACCCCCACCCGAACCAAATGTTTTAAGTTTGGAGGCGGTAAATGAGATTGGCCGAGTGGATTAAACCTGCTGTAACAACATGACGAAAGCGGCGGAGCGTTACCGGTAGCCGCGGCTTATCAAAACATGTGGCTTCTTTGGACTTGTCGAAACCTGCCACAATGGACGGAGATAGTGTCTTTTTGTTTTGGGCAGTGTGTCACCTATTCTGGAATAGAGACGAGCAGGGTTTCGTGGTGTAGTGGTTATCATATAATTGTATTATATGATGCCTGTTAATATTCTTTCGTAAATAAAGAGTTTCAAAATTTAAAAAGAAATCACGTATACTTAACATGCAGAACCTTTCACTTTGGTACCCAACGCATCCGGCAGGTGTCACATGCAGGTCAATGACGCCTAAACAGGCAAACCCGGCTGCTCAATTTGGTGGTTATCAGTCCCTCTCCACTCCCCGTTGTTGGTTCCTGGTCACAGAGCACAAATGGCTTTAGACATGCCCCTAATCGTGAGAATCAAGGGGTTCGGTAGTGGTTATCACGCTTGACTCACATGCGAGAGGTCCTGGGTTAAGACTAGTGGAGCGGCGATAACTATGATTGGCCGAGTGGATCCTATCTGCTGTAACAACATCCCATCTCACATTTCGTGCTGGGCAAATGGCGAAAGCAACCAAGCGTTGCCAGACTAAAACTTAAGCATTTCGAAACTCTTGCATGAGAAGTGTGCCTAGTTCTAAAGGGATGAGAAAACGAGGTCCATCAGTGTATACATCGTGCGGGCGGATAGCCTGGAAACAAAAGAGCTTCTGGAGTCTAGGCATAGATGAAAACCCGAGGTCCATCTCTGTAATCGTCGACCTTGGAAGATGGAAATCGAAGAAGAAAATACGAAAACGCCGATGTGCGGACACACTCTTCTACCCCGAACCAAAGAAATAAAAAGTATCATGTGTCTGTCTCAAATGACCAAAGGATTGTGTTGACGACACATTAAAGATGCATCATGTAAGATTTAGATAAAGAGCCGCCGTAATAGTTCCAAAATAGATACTTCAAAATTAATATATTGAAAATTTCATTCAAATTACTTTATTCTGAGCAACGTTATCATTGTTTGAAGTTTTGTAAAGTTTGTTTATTATCATAGAAACGTTTCTTGATAACCGAGACTCGGCATCAACTCTCCAATTTTAAATTAAATAACTATCGTATTTCAACCCGTTTACATCTTAACCATCCGATGCTCTAGAGAGTTGATTTTAGGTTTGTCATGAGAATAAATATCTAAATAAGAATTTATATAACATTTGAAGTCAAAATAAAAAAAAACTGCAATAGGCAAATATAGCTTTTACACAATGCATCTTTAGAAACTATTCCATTCAATTATTACGTGTTCCAAACAGAGGTTACCTCCCTTGACAAACAATGCTCGCGTGTTCGGCATACTACAATTGATTTGCAAATAGAACACTTCGTAGCAGATGAAATTTTTATTAAAACAAGAAAGATTATGAGCGGAAAGCTGCAACACCAACAAAAATCATGTTGGTAATATTTGGGAGGAGTTATATTTTATGTTAAATGGGAAGTAAGTATAAATATATTTTGGAGAAAAAAAAGATGTCTGTTTTGTAGTTTTAGAAAACATCAAAAATTTGTTATAGTTATTTATTATACACCCATGGCTGTGCCTTTTAGAATTGTAAAATGGATTCAACTAACATACATAAATTGATCAAATTTAAAGCTCTAATCGTCTTTTGCATTCTCAAGACAATATCACGACTTCATCCACGCAAAAATGTACTCAAATTGGTCAGTTAACATTTAATAATATCCCGGCTTGAATTCAATTAGACTTCTTGTTCGTATTGAAAAATCTATACCTTCTGTTTTAACTTGATTTTGTTCGGACGAAGATGCTTTTTAACGATGAAGGGAGATTACCCGCCAACACTTCTCATGATAGCAAATCTTAAAACCGTGTTTTGAAGCGACAGTTCTAAATACATGAATTTTATTTATGTTTTTAACTTTTTATGCATGATGTAAATAATCATAATTAAAATCAGCTGTCCATATTATCATAATGCATTGGACGTTAACATTGAAATAAACAATAACAACAACAGAAGTTGATTAAAACGGTAAAAATTATCCTAACAAAAATCATAAGCACCACAATTACATATTTGTTATTTGCTATGAAGCCAATGGTAAGTATATATTTACATCTAGATTTTAAACAAATTATTGGTCGTTCTGACCAGAGTGAATTTGGTAGCTTCCGTCTACGGCTGTGTTCGCCACACTCCCGTTATATCGTCTGGGGGGTGCCGATTGTTTCGAAAATGTTCAATTCTTCATGGTCATTTTCGTACCCAACCTATTTCAGAGAGTAAAAAAACTTATTCTTGTCTCTTATAATTTTACAGGAACCATCATTTTCATGCAAGAATACAATTGCGCATTGAAGAGACATGCGTATTTGCTCATATGCCGAGAATAAACGTTCAGATGATGTTTCCCACAACGATCACCCCGAGCCTTACCACCATCGCATTTCGTTTAAAACATTTAAAAACAAATCGAAATTGGTGCCTGCTGTGCTACCTTGACTCTTGATTCAGAGTCGGAGACTGGAGACCAAATTTCGACCGGAGACGACCCATCCGGCAGACGAAACTAAAGCGACAGTGGCACTGTGATCTCTGAATGATATTTTGCATGAATTAGACCCCTTCGTGGGTCTGTATATATGACGATAAAACTTTAATTCATTTCTATTAACGATTTAATCTCATTTATACGTTAACCAGTTAATAAGTTAACTGCTCTCGGCCCTGCCACTGACAATGTAAAAAAAACAGACTGGAATTTTCTATGACAACACTGGGAGTAAAAACGAGACCTCTTGGTTAGCTAGCTAGTGGCTCCCTACAATTAATATGTAGAAGTACAAAATTGAAAGAGTTCAATATTAAAACCCGGTGCTAATATTATAGTATCGACATGACTGGAACGCTTGCTATTTTAAGCATATGAGTTTACTATCAGTATTTCACCATTCCATTAAGAATGTTTTAAGAAATCCTCTTTATTCGCTTTTTATCTTTTGTAACACACTTGTGTCTGAATCTAAATATCTTGACATACTGACCTTTATTCTTTTGATAACGAAACCCGTGGGTTTTTTTTCGTTATATAAACTACCGCAATGTAATTTTTGTTAGGTAGAAACAGCACATCGGCTTCACTAAAGTTTACTTCGCATCTAAGTAAATGCTGTTATTTTCATTATATAAACTACCGTAATGTAGAAAAGACACATCGGGAATGTTTAAACCCGTAATAAAGCGTGCCAGGAGTAACTGCCAGGGTACGTGGAAACACTGTAATCCTGGCAACATTTTTCTACCCCAGATTTTAACTTTCATTCAACCATAGTAAATTAATAATCTATAACACATACTTATGATTGTTCTTCCATAAGTATTTGTTATAGTTTATTGCTCTATCCAGTTACTAAATGCCTCTAAAAGATCATAGTAAATTAATTGTATGTTAGTCTGGAAATAACCTTGATGTTAACCAAACCTGAACTTTGTATTTAAAGGACAATATTGGTGCCAGTCATTATCACATATTATGTGATAGAGCTGGTTAAACACATTCCGAATATAATTTTAACACAGAGATCATTGCTACGATAGCTGAGTAATACAGGTTTCCTGAATCGGAAGTGAAAAACGCCAAAGGAAAACACGAGTCACCCCTTTATATAACTGACTGATGTGACGAGTGATAACAGATACACGGCCGAATTTCTGCTCACTAATAATTCCTTCGAAGACCAAAAGTTGTTATATGGGACTGTAAGAGGATACCTGACAATTCAATAAAGTAATTGAATGTCATTAGATAAGAGAACACGAGAAAAATAGAAATAGTCCGTACATTCCCTTGTTTATATTCGTTCTATCTTCTATATATATATTTGTGACTGTCGTTTGTCTGTCTGTCGGTCTGTCTGTCTGTCTATCTGTTCGGGGTTGGCGGCTACACTAGGTCTGCCCCGAGTCTGAAATTTGGGGTCTTGGGGTAACTCGGACCGGGGAGTAACATAGGCCAGGTGGCGTTAGTCTACCACTTCCGGTTTCGGAGTTATGACCCCGAGCGAAGCCGGTCTGTTCGGGGTTGGCGGCTACACTAGGTCTGCCCCGAGTCTGAAATTCGGGGTATAGGGGTAGCTCGGACGGGGAGTAACATAGGCTAGGTGGCGTTAGTCTACCACTTCCGGTTTCGGAGTTATGACCCCCGAGCGAAGTCTGTCTGTTCGGGGTTGGCGGCTACATCTGCCCCGAGTCTGAAATTTGGGGTATAGGGGAAGCTCGGACCGGGGAGTAACATAGGCCAGGTGGCATTAGTCTACCACTTCCGGTTTCGGAGTTATGACCCCCGAGCGAAGCCGGTCTGTTTGGGGTTGGCGGCTACACTAGGTCTGCCCCGAGTCTGAAATTTGGGGTATAGGGGAAGCTCGGACCGGGGAGTAACATAGGCCAGGGGACGTTAGTCTACCACTTCCGGTTTCGGAGTTATGACCCCCGAGCGAAGCCGGGTATCCTGCTAGTACCTTATAAAAACATGGTAATGCACGGACTTTTTCTGTTTTTCTTTCGTGTTCTCTTATCTAGTGGCAGTCAATTCTTTTTATGAATTGTCAGATATCTTCTCACAGTCTCACGCAACAACTTTTGGTCTTCGAAGGAATTATTAGTGAGCAGAAATTCGCCCATGTATCTGTTATCACTCAGTCAGCTATATAGAGGGATGACCCGTGTTTTCCTTTGGCGTTCGTCACTTCCGACTTAGGAAACCTGTATTACTCAGCTGTCGTAGCAATGATCTCTGTGTTAAAATTATATTTGGAATATATCTAATATCTATCAGATTAGATATTCGCTGTGAAATTGTAAGCGGTAGTCAGTTTACTTTCTAAGTTTAGTTTTGATGTTATCTCAAGCTCCATCTTCATTAGCCCAGTAGGCGCAGAACAATAGGACGCTACACCTCATTTCATTTATTACTTATCTCAAGCTGTCAGCAGTGATACACATTCAGATAACCAATTCATAAAGCAAATCAATACATTAAAGTAGCCAAGTCTCTAACTCAATATCATCCAAAGTCTTCGACATTGAAAACACGAATTATATATCAATTTAAATCAACATTGATGTTGTGATCTTACCGTGAAAAGATGTGCTTCTGATATCCAATATTTAAGACAAAATAAACAATTTTCCATTTGGTACACGATTTCGTGTACCATAATGCGTTTCAGCGTTATTTGTATCAAGGAACTCGAATAACGAGGCTAGATTATTGCACAAGTCGTGTCAAACGGTGACGGCACATTCTTATCTGGATATCATGCGTTATAAATACTATGGGTGTAGACTGGAATAACCAGACGCGGGAGATTGCCATTCGATTGAGACTTCTGGCGGATTTCGCCGAACACAACTGATTAGAAATTAGAGTAAAAACAGAAACGATTGAATATAAATCAGTATATATATATATGCGTTGCGACCCATTTGTGTCAATTTCTAGGTCCCAAATATTAGCAATTTAACTCCTTTAAACTTAATTTTTTGTTTTGTGCACGATTTGAATCAACTTGTGTTAACCTGTGGTGCGCTTTAGATCTGTCTTTTGAGTCAAGTTTCCTGCCACTGTAAAGATACAATAAAAACTAGACTGTGTATTAAATCAAAGATTCGTTGCACAGCTTTCGAAAGAAGGGGAGGAGAGGTGGCAAAGCGTCTGCTGTCAGATAAACAGTTACACCAGATCGTGTAAGTTTTCAGTAATACAACCATTTGGGAATGGTTCGAAAGAGATTAATCACCAAATTAACGATACTAACATTGTCCTTTGTCTTGCACACATTTATAATATAATATTTAGCGAAATGTAAAGTAGTAATATTACCAAAGACCCTGGTTTCTGAGAGCATTTGAAATGGAACAATGAATTAACGACTATTTTTATGCAATATAAACTCAATCAGTGTTAGGAAGAGACCGAAATATTGTTTTTAGCAATCATGCCTTCGGCAGGTATGCAAAAAGTGCACCACTCCCATAAGACCACCAACATTCCGCCCACCAGTCAGACTATAGTTGATATACAATCTCTGTATATGAGTTAAATCCGAATATATCCCCGAGGGACCATAGTGTCGAATACCCCACGTTGTAAATCAAATGGGTTAATATGTTAATAATAAGAACATTGAATTCTTATTAGTATATTTAATATGCATTGCTCTCTTGATAGTTGTCGTATTAATAAACAAAATAAAATACATTAACGCATTAATAATTAAGTCATTGTGCATGGTATATGTATTAAACACGCCGCCGCCACTCAACAATACAATCTAACATTAAATAGTCGATTCTATCCGACAGCTATTAACTATTTCCGCCAATTTTCAATTTCCACACACGTACGCTTAACAACTACAGGCCGTCAAACGAGCAGAGAAACAATAGAGGGATGATGACTTCGCTGTTGGCTCGAACATTTTGTCATGGTTTGAGTATTTAATTCACTGGGTGGCTATTTCTATTACATGCCGACTCTTTGGGATAATTGCGAGTTAATTGCGACATATACGACCAATAATAATTTGAGCATTTAACCAAAAGACAGCCTACTACTTTACAGCGCCATAGATGATTGTGATTGTTTTGGCTTAATAATGTAAACGGTACACCGGTCTGTGGATAAACTGTGTATCCCGCTCTCTGTGGATCTACTTAAGAAATGTTGTGTTTTCAATGGATATATGTTTTGAAATTGTGTCAAAACCAATTAAACTGATTTTCTAGTGAAATTACTACCGCACACAATTAAAATTGTCTGCTATAAAGTACAAGTCGTAATATGAGAGATTTTTGTTGATTGAAAAAAGAAACGGATAATAACACAGATTTAGCTTCAGGTTTTGTGTTCAATTTCCGGGAAGGATTAACACAAACTATTGAAATAATTGCAAAGGTTCAATAAATGCCAGGTTGAAAAATTGTAAAAACTGTTTTTCACCATTTTTCACTAACGGAGTCACACTTTGCTATAAAGTTGCTACTTACGAAACAAAATAAAAAAAATACAAATTTTAAAGAACTTTTAATGAAACGAACAAACGCGATCAGTCGGAAATTATTGACTTATATAGAGTAAATTAAATAGTTTGTAGATTTGTCTTTGGGATACAATTATTATTTTGTGGAGTTTGACAGGTAACAGTGTCATTGTCTATTATATTTTAACGCTAAATACATGTATCAGACGAAAGACCAACAGCTGTTTCCAGTCAAATCAGTTCGTACTATCTGACAAGCCGTACGTCACACTTACTGTCAACCGTAGGTAAAGGCTTAATCCACACTTTGGTCAAATCGCCCATCCCGACGAAAACGTAACTCCCACAAGTTTATCTGATCACGAATTGGAACCGTTATCTATCTTTCTTCACTCAACGAGTCACTAATACAACAAGCAAGCTGGATTCCATCATCAGGATATTATGTCCAAGGAATTTATATTTTTAATTTTAAATCTGGTTGTTCAATATGTAACACTGGTATCAACAACTCATTTTATCAATGAATGGGCTGTGGAGATTAAAGGCGGACCTACTATAGCTAAACGGGTTGCTTCTGATCACGGATATGAAGTAATTGACCAGGTAATCAATCTTTAGTTAATATTAATCTAAAATTTAATTGAAAATTCTATTAAATGTGAATGATACGAAACATGGACGGACAATATATTTCGAATTTTATTTAACATTGTTGTTTTGGCGTTAAAAACGAACATAATCTCTGAAAGGTAAATGAATTAAAGAATACGATTGATTAATCAAATTGACGTGTCGTTCGACGGCGATTCCTAACGAGAAAACATTTTATAGGAAATTAGCTGGTCTTATAATTATGACACAAAATATGGAGGGACTATATGTTTCGAAATTTATTTAACGTTGTTGTTTTGGCGTTAAATTCGAACATTATCTCTGAAAGTAAAAATTTAAAAAGAATACGAATAATTGATAAAATTGATAATTCGTTCAACGACAATTCCAACCGAGAAATTATTCCTTCAGTTGGAATGGTATTGGGAATTAGCATGTCTGTAGAGATAGGTGTTTTCTGTGGCCATATGTTTGCTTTGACATTTAAACCAATGTTCATATTAGATTCATTATACAAGTCTTGGATAGTACATGGTGTTAAATAGAACGATTGGTTCACACTCCAGCACAGTCTTCCACTATTTGGTCTACTATACCTGAAAATAGAATACACGTCTGCGTAAACACTTTCAATTATGCAATATGTCACTTTATCTTAATTGGGACTTTTCTGTTCCTTTTAAACACTGCACATAATCTTGTATGTATATATAACCAAAGACGATGGTCTGAATCAACTAACGTGGTGTCTGAATTATTTTAAAATATACTTAATTTGGCAACAGATAGCAAAATATATCCCAATCCAATAACATTTACCGAACCTTTCTAAACATTAAGAATTAAGATTTCAGAACCTAGAATTAATTCTATATAATTCCAAATTGGTAAAGAAATGATAATGATAACATTTCTAAACATTAAGAATTAAGATTTCAGAATCTATGTATAGATTTATGTTGGGTTTTTTTTATATAATTCCATATTGGTAAAGAAATTATAACATTTCTCTTTGGACTTGAAACTGAAATCAAGAATATATTCTCAATGACCCGCTATATTAACCAAATTTGATATCAGCATATATTCATTCATTTCAACATCAAAACATCAGCTATCTACATAACTACACGGGGGCTATTTAATTTTGACATTTAACTATAGTGGATGATTATAACTAATTCAAGTATTTGGAACCCTGTAGGATTTATAACTGGGTATCTGAGTATTTTGTATTATTATAGTGCATAGCTAAGTATTTTAGGTTCTTATACATTTACGGAATGGAAAGGGATACATTTTTTAACGTCTCTTCAAAACAATATTTCTGTCATTTGTATGCTGTGGTCAGAAATTTTTCGGACAAACAGCGCTTTTGTCTAATCACATTCAGTTCCGACGCCCAACGGATTTTTAATGTTCATTTTCTATCTCTGCAATACTCCCGATTTTTTTTTTCTCGGCCGCGCGTGAAGAAGTTTAAAAAATAGAAACGAAAGGAAAAGGTTTTAATGTTTTACTTTTCTGAAGACGGCGATATGCCATGTTGTGGGCTATGAAGAAAATTTTCCATTTATAACATGCTGCCAATAGTAATCAGAGGACGTCGATTCATCGTCCATTCCAACGGTTCTAAAGCGTTTTTCTATACCAGGTCCCGTGAATTTTCTTTGCCAGCACTCGGATAGGATTATACATTAATACATTGTAAAGATGTCGATTCATAATAGTGGATATACCTATAAAACTTAATCGGTTGTATTTATTATGCCCATGTAATAATGGTTATTACAGAAAACGACAATTCGTATTTTATAATAAAGTATCCAAAATTCAAGACCAGAGTTATTTGGGATCTGTAGAGCTACCGCTTGTTTAATGTTACGATACTTATTGAAATGTTTCTTGAAACGCAGTTCAAAGCATTGCACCAATTTTCATGCGCCAAAGAACATTGTTCTTAAGATAATTTTTTGTCCTAAGGTGCCTTAGTTTTTAAAAAAAAACCACACCATTTCCCGCACTTAATAATTTTCCTTCTATTTTTGACCTATTCATTAATACATGTTATTAGAACACTCTGTAACCTTAATTATGAATAATAATCAATTTTGTAGTTTGACTGGCATAGTAAACGGTAGCATTATACGCTATATGAATAAATATATTGAATGCATAAAAACAAATTATGCATGTATATTAATATGTCATGCGTTCCGCACAATAATGATTTTATAAATAATTTCTATTTACACCTGACTAATTATAACGACAAACACGACGTTTATTAAGTATAACTCCTCCATATTGATGACATTTCGTCCTGCCATTATACTAAAATATATACGAGAGAGAGAAATGGGGTTTAACGTCCACTCTACACAAACTATGCCATTTCGGGACTAATTTTATTTCAATAATTCGCTTGCATGTAGGTGTCTTTAGCAGTTGGAGGAAAACGGAGAACCCGGAGAAAACCTACTGCTCTGCACCAACCGGGATAATGAAGATGGGCATGCGCCATACAGTCTGCTATGAAGGTCATTTTGCCCGACAGCAAATGAATTACATCTGTCAAGGGGTCTTTTACGTGCTCACAACCGCGTACACGGGATCTCCGAACTATATGGTTTGCTACAATGTGGACATTGGTCATTAAACCTGTTTGGCTCTGTTCCTTAACTAGTCTAGTTCCAAAAATAAAGAGTGTAATCTTGACAATTTTGTAAGTAAAATGATAGACTAACCTGATACGGAATACATAATTCGGCGGGTATTACAGTGAGTAAAACAAACAAAAAATATACAAATAAATGATAAATATAGCACCTGGCACAACTCATGTTGTTGAATAGCAATCTATTTGAGTTATATTAAAGTTAATTCTAAAAAGTTGAATTGAAAGATATAGAATAGATTGATGAAACAGCGTCAATTCCAAGTTTTATTGAACAATATTACTAGGCGATCTGTCAACAAACACAGTCAGAGATTATTTAGCATCCAATTTGTATCTGAAATTGCATCATATTCTATCATAAATACTATATATCAGTTTGAAATAAAAACGACGGAGTCACTGTTTAGAAAAGAAGCACTGTTTTATGTTCTTTTCGGTTTAACGAAAATGGACCGACCGTGCGTTGACATGAAACATCTAACATGTTTAGAATTCATAAAATATCTCCATTAACCCATCTTGCCTAATACGCTATAGATCATAAGGTCTTTTTCTATGAGTCCAGTGGTGTGGTTTCGATCCAACACTTGTACGTGACAAACAGTATAGTTGCCTTCGTGGATTTTCTCCGGGTCCTTCACTTTCCTCCTACTGCCAAAGACCCCTAGGGGCGAACGAATTATTGAAATAAATTTGTACCATATGTTAGTCTGGAAATGAATTAATTTGTTTTCAGTTTATCCTCCAGATACGAAAACACACCAAAAACAGGTCGATATTATTATAAACAAGAAAATGAAATTAATAATACGTTGTGTTATATTTTGGTAAAGTAGGTAAATATAATATATACATGAAAGTTAAATCAGATATAAATATTGTCACTTAATTGATCCACCAGATGTTACTCTAGTATATCACAGTTAGCGGTAATTTTATGTATATAGATAATCTGAAAAGGGTATAATTTATAATATATCCATTTAATAAACCAATTTCATTTAAAGTGGCTAAGTCTTTAACGCAATATCATCCAAATTTTTCGACATTGAAGACACAAATTATTTGTCTATTTAAATCAACATTGATGTTGTGATCCTACCGGAAAAGTGGTGGGCTTCTGATATCCAATATTTAAGACAAAATAATAACCAGACTCTGGAAATTGCCATTCGATTGAGATTTCTGGCGTATTTCGCCGAACTTAACTGATTAGAAATTACAGTAAAAACAGAAATGATTGAATGTAAATCAGTTTATATACATTCATATTACATTATTATATGCGTTGTGACGCATTTGTGTCAATTTCTAGGTCCCAAATATTAGCGACTTAGCTGTGTGTAGTGTTTCTGTTAGGATTATAACAATAAGAACCGTACTTTCAGATGGCATTTAAAGAATTGAGAAATTGGAATGTCTTTTCTGTCTGTGTAACAATGTTCGGTTTTCCTCCATTGTCGAGCATGTTGAACACATCTATGTTATATAAAATTTAATGTCATGCACTGTTTACATTATGATACAATAATATTTAGGCCTAACATAATGTTCTATTTTCTTTATCGATAGAAATCTATACAGGCCCAACAGGTTTTTCAATCCCACGGTAGACCGTTTGTTGCTTTCTCTTTATCAAAATATTATCTCGAATATCGTGTTTTACTAAATATACGTCATTAGATTTTGTGTACTACATTAAATAGGTCATGTCAGGTTAGATATTTCCGCGAAGTAAGCACGTTATTTTCAGTAGAACACATTTCATGGCATGGTGTGATTTGTATGTTAATTTTTGTTCCCGGAAATGGTGATAATTAACAAAAATGACAAAATGAAAATTCAAAGACTGGGGATTAAACAGTTAACTAAAATTTATTTGCCTATACAATTTTAAAATATGCTATATTCAAAGGAGATATGACATAATATAAAAATATTTAAAAGATAGTTATCTCGTAAAAAATAAAAAATAAATTTGACATTTAAAGTAGCTAAATCACTAATATTTGGGACCTAGAAATTGACACAAATGGGTCGCAACGCATATAATAATGTAATATGAAGGTATATAAACTGATTTGTACTCTAATTGCAAATCAGTTAATGAACTATGTTCGGCGAAATACGCCAGAGGTCTCAATCGAATGGGAATCTCTAGCGCCTGGTTATTCCAGTCCACACCGATAGTATTTATTGCGCATGCTCTCCAGATAAGGATATGAAGTCACCGTTTGACATGAGTTGTTGAATCTGTTTAGCCTCGTTCTTCGAGTCCCTTTTTACAAATGGCACTGAAACGCATTATGGTATATGATTCGTGTACCAATGGTAAAATGTTTATTTTGTCTTAAATATTGGATATCAGAAGATCACATCATCAATGTTGATTTAAATTGACAAATAATTCGTGTTTTCAATGTTGGAGTTAGAGACTTAGCTACTTTAACCTTAAAAAAAACTTACATAATTTGAAAAAGCCATCTTCATTTTTCAAAGACCAAGACACTGCATATAATCCTATGCGAGAACAAAGATAAAATGCAGAACGGAAATTATTATTCTATGGTTTAATTGAAAATATATAAAAGCGATTTGAAATGAAATGGGGTTTAACGTCCTACTGTTCTGCTCCGAACTGGGCTAATGAAGACAGACATACGCCATACACTGTGCTATGCGTGAAATTTTGCCTAAACAGCGGCACTACGGCCTTATAACGAATTCAAACTGTCACGGGATCTTTTACGTGCACGCCAATGTGTACGTGTGACCTCGGTTTTCGTGCCATCCGAACGACTAGACAGCTGTCCTTACCAGGCCCTCCGTCCTGCATCACTGACAAGGGGGAACCACGCCGGAAAATCTTACCCACTTAGCCACCGTGATCCCGCTAAAAGCGATTTGGAACATAGGCTGTGCTATTTGATGAAATATTAACTTTGGACACCCAAAAACACTTGTTAGACAACAAGGAAAAAGTTTGGTGTATTTCTTTTTTATATTTAATTCCTCCTCTAAGAGAGTAATATAAAGTAGCATAAGAGTTTAATATAAATCTATATTTTGATTGGGAAACACTATTTAGCTGGTTAAATAGACCACAAGAGTTTGAAACACAGTTCAAAACCTGATCATTACTCAGGAGAGGTTGTATTAAAGCAGTAGAAGCTTCAGCATAATCTTCTGCATTAATGTCGAAAGGGAACCAAACCAAAACAAAATTACCCATGACAATAAGGGTAATAGAGATTAAATGGGGGTTAAAGGTGTCGCCTAAATACAACCACTATACCCAATGAAACAGATTTTTGATATCTCACTTCGTTCGGCGTCCTTTCAACTCTCTTTTATAACATCATATTTTATTTCTAAAAAAAAACTAAATTATAGTTCCGCTAATGTAGCGCAAAATTCTAAAAAAAAAATCAACTCGATCACCCATTTGGTAATACACGCTCTAAACAGGCCCGTAACTAAAAGGGGGGGGGGGGTCGTGAAAAAATTGTCGACCATAAATAGGGTGGCCCATGTACTCACAGAAATACAGTCCACCGCTGATAGTTCGAGACTACCACTGAAGCGTGCACATTCGCCGTGCCGAGACCAACTTTCTGACAGTATGATACTATAAATAGCCATGGCACGTGCAATTCTCTACAAATCTATCAACTATTACAGCCGTAAAATATTTATTGTTGACGATTTTGGATAGAAGTTAAATTAAGCTTCTTGGTTATTACAGCAGATTTAGAAATTACGTTCGTTTCATTTTTTAAATCGCTTTATCATTAACTGTACCGTTAAGAGCGGCATCTTTTGGTTTAGTACAAATAATATATCTGAATCACTCGGGTTAGGCAGGAACATGATACTAGCAGTAGTTTCATTTTACGTTTACAAGCTTCTTAAAACGATTGTTGAGCTACCTAACGTGCTTATTTCTAAATTCAATTTCTTGTTCTAGCTTTCTGTTACGTTTCGTAAAAAAGTAGTCTTGATTATCCCGACCTGTCAATCAGACGTAGAATGGTCGATAGACTGGTTAAGCGAGACTAATTTCAAAACAAGGGCACGTAACCTATCTTTTACTCAAAAGTGTCTGGATGTTATGGACGACTCTTGGAACCAGTTTTCAGTCTATTATTTATAGATGATTAATGGTCATAGCTTATTAAGTACAACATGATCGTTTATTTAGTGACTATAATTGTGTGAAACTGATTTGAGGCTTGGCATATATATAAATATTGTGGCGTAATTGTCGAGATATATGGAGATATTTATTTATGGTGGGTCACCCTACCATAAAAACATCAGGTATACATTATCCGTCAATTTTACAGCACCCCTGAGAACACTTCCCGCCCCCCCCCCTCATTGCTCTGAGCTAGTTACGACCATGCCTCTAAAATTAATTGTTTAACAATATTCGCGAATACTAATTATTATCATGTAGAATAAAAAAAAACTATGCCCAACACACCCTCCCCAACCCGGACAATTAGGCTGCCAGTAGGCTTAGTTTGTGTCAGCATCTAGTTTCATATTTTTCTAAACAATAATAATAATATCACATACAATGGTTTCAACTCTACACCTGCTATATGTAACTCATTGGCAACTTTTATGAAATATGATCGTCCTATCAGGGTCTATTTTAAGGTTTTATTGGTGAAGCACGGGTTCCGGTGTTTTGGGGTTCCGTGAAAATTTCCAGAAATTGACCTCCCATAACACGACATCACGCTTACACATTTATAACAAAAATATAACACGATTAACATATTTATATCTATAACCGCGTTTCGGTATCATTAGCAGTCCAAAGAAACACTCATAGTTGATCTAAAGGCAATCGAACCTTCGCTGTCACCAGCACTTGACTCTGTGATGGTGGGAATACGTCAAAAATACAAAACTTTTGAAACAGAAGCCGAAATGGGTCGATGGTCATAATGATAGCCCAGTTTCCTCGTACAATCTTCTCGGATTCAAAAGGCCACATAACATTTTTTTAAAGCACGCATTTCAGATTTTCAAAGTACGTTAAAATAGTCACTGCGTCCTCTACAACACATCCAAAGTTCTCTGGATTTCGGGTCGGAGAAAGGGCTTTATTTACATAAATTTAAAATGGCCGTCAAATGTACCTTTGAAGTCTCAAAACTCCATTAATATTGAGTTTTCACCATATAAAATTATTACACATGGAAACAAATTAGAATATCCCAAGTTTGCTCATGCGCAAGCTTTGTAGTGTTTAATTTCTTTGCCCACCTTACACTTTTTTCAATTGCAAACAATCTGGATGTTGTATCACACCCAACTATACCATGCACAAACAGAAGGTATCAAACTCTGCCGATAAGCAGAACTTCTTAGATATTTTTGTGGGAACAATTTGAAAACGATGATACGAAAACATTGAAGGCGAATCAGGATGCCGATTTGCTCATTGGCTAGACAGGAATCGGACGTGCTCTATCAGGTAGTACCCATACCATGTGGTTGGTGAGGACACTGACCTCTTTGTTCTACAGTTGTATCTTGCAAAGTCAAAGATTCCCAATCTGGTTTCTAGGTCTGAAAACTTGATAATATTTCTGTTTGTGCATGCCATAGCTGGATGAGACACGGCATCCAGATTGTTTGAATTCTGCAAAGTTGTCGCTTTCAAAAGGATTCAAGAGGATTAAAACTGCTGTAGTGCTTCAAAGTCCCTTTAAGAATGATCCAATGACAAACAGACTCAATTTAAATTTTATGTTATAATTTAATTTAAACCAATCTGATTAACATACAAATCTATATTTTGTTTCGTTTTTTATACTTTCGATGGCCTACGCTAGATGAAGATCTGATCTGACCAGTTTACAGGGAGGTCGCGTCGGGGGGCGTGCGAGCGGCTTTTGACCTATGACTTCAGACATTGATTAATCAAACAGCGTTGACTTTTCTAGTGGTTTACCCACAGTTCCGTGCGTTGTACGCCAAGAAGTCGCCGTAACAAATGGTTTCATTGGCTAATCCCTCACGCTATCCAGAACGCAGGTTATATAACAACTTTTCCAGATCCTAGTGTAGTACTATAAAAAAACGAAACAAAATAGGATCTGTGTTTTAATCAGATTGAATTTAAACACTATATAAATTTTTCTAGATTAGAGGATTTGATGATAATTATTTACTACGTCATAAAGATGTTGCCTCCAGATCAAAACGCAGTGCTGATCATCATACCAAACGATTAACATCAGATTCTAGGGTAAGTGCAATATCACCTGATTCCTTAAAATGACACAAGTTCGAAACCGGGTTTATATGACTTAGGGGTATATACTTGCCCAGTTCAGATATAATTGACGAGCTATGTCATTTTGATAGCCAGTGTCTATTCAAACGCTTCATTTCTTATAATGATATTATTTTAACGTAACTCATTTCTGCACAAGACATATTGTGCTTACACTTCATCACATTCCAAAGAGCACACGGGTGCACCTCGGTTTTCCATCCCATCCGATCGACTAACGCCAGTGCTATCCTCACCGTGGCATCCCCATTTCTTAATATTAATTTTTAATGAATGACAAGTCAATGTAAAATCGGGCCAGTAGGCTATATATCAAACGCATTTAAATCTATTGAGGCCTTGATGAAATTCCTTTTGGACTGTTGCGTCAAGAAAACATCGTCGTGGGACAGGAACCCAACTATTGGATTAGGCAACTCACAAGTAGTGACATATGTGCAAGTTAAAGGACAATATTGGTGCCAGTTATTATCACATATGTGATAGAACTGGTTAAACACGATCCAAACATTATTTTTTCACAGAGATCATTGCTACGATAGATGAGTAATCAATGTTTCAACAATCGGAAGTGACGAACGCAAAAGGAAAACACGAGTTATCCCTCTATACAACTGACTGAAATGACGGGTGAAAACAGATACATAGGCGGGGGGGGGGGGGTAAATAGATGAATGAGATTTATGCTATTATAAATAGTTGGATAGTAGGAAATCTATCAGTAGAGTGTTTCATATAGACAATTAAATGCGATCGCGCTGGCAATGGATAACGTATAGTCGTTGGGGTCGGACGAAAAATCGAGGTCCCGTGTGAACATTGGCGTGCACGCAAAATAACCCTTGGCAGTTGGAAGTCGACATAAGAGTAGACCGTAGCACCGCTGTCAGGACAAAATTTCACACATAAAACATTGAATGGCGTATGCCCGTCTTCATTAGCCCAATCGGTGTAGAGAAATAGGACGTTAAACCCCATTTCAGAAAGCCAATCAAAACATGGTAACATAGCAGTTTTATCCAACGATTCTAATGGAATAATACTAGATTTTACAAAGACAATGACTTCCATTCATTTCATGACTCGCTAACTCAATTATTTAAACATACTGGATTCAGCATAGGAAATGATACATTACTTAATGAAAGAGATTTGACATTTTGTCGACAAGAATAATTTTACATTTTGGATGTCTCTCCGTCTACATGATATTAATATTCCGGAATAAGAAATTAACATTATCACTCCATCATCCAGTAATACAACGAACTGGTATTTTATAATTGTGACTTTGTTGATCACGTTTTATTTTATATAATTTTTAAGCACAAAATATGAAAAATGCAAAGTGGTATTATGGGTTATTTATGCTGTTAGGTATGACAAAATAAACGGTTAACAGGTAATGAAATGAAATGGGGTTTACCGTCCTACGTTTCCTGTAAAAATCGGGTTAATACAGACACACATATGCCATTTTTCCAGGACAGCGGTACTTTCGCATACTCTTCGTCGAATTATTAACAAGCCAGTGTAGCTCCCATAACAAAATAATAGTCAAACGGATCCAAATGTTGACGTTTTTATATTTAGGTTGGATTAGTAAGTGTTAACTTTGATGTCTGTGACCAAACCAATCACATATTTGAGTGAAATAGATTTATTTGGTGCCGTAATCGTCAGCAAAGAAAGAAATTATATAGTCTTTTTCTGTTGCTAAATCTTTTTTTAAATGAATACAATCGTGTTTAAACTAAGTAACGCGTCAGTAATACGCTGCGCTGTTCCATTGGTGTCTAAGGCGGGATCCGCTATACGGTGAGCTCGTTATTTAGCACGACTAAAGAGTTCGTTTTGTATTTCTCCGAGCAGTTGTTAATGTAACAAAAAATTCAACGTCATGAAACAAAAATAAAAGAATACTAATCGGATCTATAAAAAAACAAATATGGGTTACAACTAATGAGGCAATATCCGAAGTGAATAATCTTAAGTCGACAATGGGATAACGTTGTCTAGATTCAGTCAGTTTTTAAACCCATTCTAATCTAGATCCGGAAATATTCAATCCAGTTCCACCTGGGGAATGGACTTGCGCAGGGAAACAATATCCGGCCATAATCACCGTACGGTAGAACAGTTAGCCAATCAAACGTAGGAAAAGAAAACACCAATTAAGCCTCGTTATCGTCTTGTCAATTAAGGCAACTGTGGTGATTAACGCGTTGACATTTCCAGTTAATAGTAGGAGCTTTTAATACATTAACCCACGGATCATCGAGACTGAAAATGGCAAATATCTGTTACATTGCTACATTCTGTTCCCAAGAGGAAGCAAATCGCCATCTCGTAATATTTTTACTGTGCGACTTTAGCTTAAATAACAACAGAATTTGACACGAAAACATATATTATGTTAGATGTAATTCCATGCTGAATCATATAATCCTTTTGGGAAGCTAAAGAATAGAAGGAATTGAATTAACGGAACTAAAAAAATAACAAAAGTAGGCGAACAGTTTCGTATTTCGTTTCTTTTAATGGACGTTGACACATTATGTTGTTTTGATGTGTTTTATTATATGTAAATGATATGATATAATGCATTATATCTCTAAAATTAACACTATTATTAAAGATACATTATAGGAGATTAGATAAAGATCTGGCAGATCTCACTAAAATACAATGTAGTTAAAAACTAGATAATCTAAAGGGAATTTGCTGAAAATTTCAGTCAAATTGATCCATTCTGAACTGAGAATTTAGCGATTGAATTTTCGGCCTAGCCTCGATCATCATTACTAAAGTCGGTACGATAAGAAACATAGTCTCGATTATCCAATTCATGATAAAATCATAAATGAAAGTTGAGCAGCCCATCGGATCCTAATCCAGTAAATATCGAAGGCTAGCGCTGACATCGAGAGTTGATTATGGTCTGGATAAGTTAATTAATGTCTAATTAATAATTTAGATAACATTTCAGGCCTAAAAAAAGACCTGAAATAGGCAGATTTAGCTCTTGCATAATGTATGTTTAAACATTTCAAATAACAATGATCAATGTCATTCATAATGCTTTTGCTTTTTGAATTAATAACACATATTAACTGGAGGTGGTTATTGAAGAAATGAAATGGGGTTTATCGTCCTACTGTTCTGCTCTGACTCGGGTACGACATACAGTGTGCTTCAGGGGAAAATTTGCCCAGGCAGCAGCGCTACGCCCTACTCTTATATCGAATTCCAACTAGGTTTTTTCGTCCCATGCGAACGACTATACACTGTCCCTGGCCAGGCCCTCTGTCCTGCATCCTTGACAAGGGGGAACCACACCGGAAGATCTAGATGAACTTTCGCTGACAATGCCGGTATCAAACACGGTACCTTCAGGTTAGTGATTCAACGTCTTACTCACTGAGCCACGATGTATATGCGTGTTATGAAATACACGTCAAGATGTTAATTAATGTTCAATTCTCTACTGTTTGTAGGTAGAATGGGCAGATCAACAATTTTCTAAAAGCCGCGTCAAGAGAGGATATTTAGAAGATATAGACCTTGAAACGAGACAAGATAATTTTGCCCATAAAAGAGAGGATGAGAATAAAGTTTACCGAGAAACAAGTTTTAGCGATCCACTGTGGCCGTCACAGTGGTATTTGGTAAGTATCGGTGCAGCGGTGCCTGTGAATGTTCATAACTTCAATATCATATATTTCAAAAGAATTTACACCAAGAAAAACTTGCCATTGTATACAAGGATAAGTAATATCAGCTGTATTATAAAATCATTAGTAAATATCAGTAGACCGGTTAGTGCCAGTGGTATCATAAAACCTCCAGTAATCACAAGTGCACAAGTGAATGGTATCGGACAAACACTAGTAAATATCAAGTAAAAATCAGAGGTTAATACATGTACACCAATGCAACAAACATGTGTTATCAGTAACTAGGTAAGTGTCAGTGATGTCATATTTATGATATTAAGTAAACATCGATGAATCAATAAATGTCAATTATGGTATCATAGTATCATCACTAGTAAATATCAATGAACCAGTAAATATCAGTGGTATCATAGAATCAAAAGTAACGGGTACTGGAAAGGAATGAAATGAGATGGGGTTTAACGTTCCTCTGTTCTGCTCTGACTGGTCCAACGAAGAAAGACATAAGAGTTTAATGTCCTACAGCTCAGGGCCCTGTTTCTCGAAACCTTAACTAAAGATAAAATCCAAATTTTAGTAGATACTTCAATTTTGATTGGCTAAGCGCTAAAATGAATCTAATATTTTCCAATCAAACTACTAAAGTTTGGATTTTATCTTAGTTAAAATTTCATGAAATACGCCCCTGCTCCTACTGGGCTAATGAAGACTGACATAAGGTCTGTCACTCAGTCAACTGGCGTGGTTTCGATTCCCCGGTTGTCGTGACAAGGAATAGGATCGCCTGTCCAAGCGAATTATTGAAATAAAATTGAAACATATGTTTAGTCCCAAAATGACCTAGTTTGTGTCGCGTGGACGTTACCCCCCCCCCCCTCTCTCTCTCTCTCTCTCTCTCTCTCTCTCTCTCCTAATTTTACGATTCCATGTAACTCTAGTTTTAAATCATTTTTTCTCAACCCTCTCAAATTCTTATTGCTGGCGTGACATGCATTTGTCTTGTAATTAAATACAAATATTGCCCCACTCGCCCCCCCCTTTTAAAAATAGTATTTATATTTTTTCTCAGTCCTCTCACATTCTGATTGCTGACTTGACATGTCTTGTAATATTAACTACAAGTATTATCCCACTCGTTGCTCTTTTAAACATATTATGATCATTTTTTTTGGTCAAATTAATAAGCAAATAGAGAAAATATTGAGGAGGTGATAACAAACTTCAATATGTTGATTTCGTTTTAACTTTATGTTTATTTTAGCACGATGAAAGGGAAAATCTTGCAGAACCAAAGAAGGATCTTCACGTTGTTCCCCTATGGAACCGAGGTTTATCTGGGAAGGGAGTTACAGTTTCTATTTTAGATGATGGTATGTATTTGATAGAATATCATTAGTATAAAATGGTCAGTAGCCAGAGAAGTATATGCAGCGACGTTCAGTTTTTTCGGTTTGTTTATGAACACAGCTCTAAACAACAAATTTCAGGAAACATGAAATGCCAACTCATTTCATTGTATTTTGTAGGAGTAACGCCATAAGCGTCTAGAATGGCCGAAATTCTAGGTTCTTTGTGTACAGGGCCCTGTTTCTCGAAATCTTAACTAAAGATAAAATCCAAAATTTAGTAGATACTTCAATTTTGATTGGTTAAGCACTAAAATTAATCTAATATTATCCAATCAAATTACTGAAATTTGGCTTTTATCCCAGTTAAAATTTCGTGAAATAGGTCCTGATATTTTAGCCTTAAAATACAGCAAAGACAGCATAATACCCCCATTTTAAGAAATACCACTGACTGAGTAACATATTGTTTCATGGTTTTAATTATATATCTATTTCCTTTTGATACAAATTTGTTACAGATATTTGGTGACAGTTGATGGACAGCTATTCGGCTGGTCGGGTGTATTTTCTATACCTTTTGATGTTTTCTAGCTTTAAGGCCAATTCCAGTCCCTATTTATTACTTTGTCTTTATTCTGTAATTCACCATGTTAATTAAAATAAATTGTCGAAACTTTATTTTTAAACCCCTAATACCCAACATATTCTTACCCAATTTACATTTATTTTCTTTCCGTTGGGAAGATATCTTTTCATTGAATTTGACATATAGGATAGCGGTTTAAGCCCATATGTTTTCCGATACCCCTACCTATGGTAGAACAAAGGTTATTTGGTATAGTTGGAAAGGTAATTGTATCGACATTATGAGATCGGTTCCTGGGCGATTTTCAAAACAGGCCATAATAGTTATTTCTCCTGGTTTCCATAGCAACCATAAAAATAAATCATAGATATCGACTCTATGCGTAACATCCAATTATTTAACGATTAAGAAGCTTCAGATAAGCTATATTTTGTGTTTTTCTCCAGCACATTCTGTGATTTAAATTTTAAAAAATCGCAAATAGCACACACAATATCATTTTAGGGTCAGTAATTGGCCCCTTAGCGCCACTAATCATGTTTTTGTTGTTCTTGTTGGTGGCGCATTTCGAAAAAAGGCGCAATTCTAAAAAAAAGCCTAAGGCTCCGTCAATTCATGTACGATTGACATAAAATTAGGCATGAAGGTTCCTTGGGCAATTGTGCCTCAATTGACGGATTTCGCGATGAAGAAAAATCAACTGCTCATGAAATTTCAACAAGCCTTGGAGAAATAGTCAGCCTATGTTTACCTACAGTACATGCGTTATCTGGTTGCGACAACACAAGTTCTTGGAAAACGAAAAGAAATTACAAAAATACGTCAGTAGCTTAGCCCCACTTTCGGATAGAGTCTTGAATTAACTTATAATTTTATTTGTAATAAACCTAACAAGGAACAAAACACACGCGTTATGTTATTGCTATACGTTAACGGACACATTGGCAGTCACTCTTCCTCTAACAGACGACGTCTTACACCAGACATACACGGTGCAACATCATAAGGCGAAACCTAATATCCCTTGTCCAATTGAAACATTGGTAGCGAAGAAATATGGAAGGGTATCGCTGCCAATATTAAATGCTCTGCGACAATGTCTTTTCCATTGATTATATGTAAAAAGTACAATGTACAAAGTCCTAATACCGGTAATGATAGTCAAAATACCTCTAAGGCAAGAGTTAAATGTAAAACGTCAAATGCTAAGTGTTAAATGACATATGTTTTGTGGGAAAATGCTTTTTTTGACGTGTTTACATTTTACATTTCTCTCATTACATTTTACATTTGCTCTCTGCCACATCCCATTTGTCCTTCACACATTCTACATAGCATGTTTCGCATAGCATCAACTTTCATATGCAAATGTAGGATATCACGTGACTTATTAACATAAACTTGGCACACTATAAGCCAAAACAAGGATATTCACGACACTCTTGCCTTAGAGGTATTTTGACTTGATCATTGTCGGTATTAGGACTTTGTACATTGTACTTTTTACATATAATCAAAGGAAACGACATAGTCGCAGAGCATTTAATATTGGCAGCGATACCCTTCCATAAAGAAATGGTGATGGTATAAGTAGTTCCTGTTTTATTTGAGAAGGAATCTGCGAGAAGGACGTGTTTTTTCCCTGTGATTCATGCTCACGCGAGACTGCTTGGTCCGTGTTTCAATACCAGTCGAGACCAGAGCCGCCAACCCTCTAAACTGTTACCCAATTCCTGCCACTCCATCGTTGCATACAAATTAGTATTCAAAATTGTTAATTAAACATACATTATGCAAGAGCAATTTAACTGATATTTTCAGCATATTCTATTCACGTTATCTATTTTTTAACTATTATAGCGAGAACTGCCAACTCTTTATCTGATCTCCTATAATGCCCCTTTTAACACATTCGCTCTTTTACCGAACATTTTTAACTCGCTCTGCTTCGTCCGGGGGTATACCAGTAAATTTTATATTGGTTGTGGTCGCTCCAATATGAAAATCACCACTATGTCAATGTTAGCTAGATGATGTAGTAATGTCTGCGTTATAAAAATTATTATTTCGTCAATGACCTTATACAAGAAAAAATGTATAAATATTTCTCAAACTTCATTTACTACCATTTCTAAAAGCAACCAATCTGGTCTTTAATAAGACACCAACAAGCCACTTTCAGGGGAGCTTAGAATAAAATAAGATATTTGATACTATTGATAAAATGGTCATTATTAATGTACGGTACGGACTCAACGTTGAATAATATAGCATTATTAACAATGATTATACATTTATTATTGGATTAACAACATGATGTAGATTAATACATAATCACATCAAATCTGATGTTGATTTCAGTTTATATCCCAAGAGGGTTGCTAGATTATTGATGTAAATTTCACTTTCCTTTATTATTCAAGATGGGGAAAAATGATGCAATTCTACATCGTTTTAGATACACTTTGAAGCTTGGTGACGTAAAAATCTACCACTATCATTTCCATTATATCTACTAATGTTTTTGACTGTCGTTTGTGTGTTTGTCTGTCTGTTCATGGTTCGCGGTTACACTACTGTCCCGAGGCTGAAATTATGGAATTTATAAAATCATTATTCTTTTACAACAAAATATGACTATAGACAGGTCCGGATAAAGCCATCTTCAATAGAAGGCTTGATCTCGCTTTAACTATGTACATCTTATCAAGATGTTGTGATACTCGCAGTCGTTGCTTCAGGAACATAGGATAAAGCCTGCATGGCGACAATGGTTAAAATGGAACCAGGGGCCCGTGCATCAACATTGAAAAGCAAGCATAACCCAGGTCATTACCGTACTGTCTCCCTTTACTCGGAATCATTTTTTATTTGATTTTCAGAAAATATTTAGGAATAGTCAGTGTCAAATTTAAAGGTTTTCACAAAAATATTTCCATTTCCGGAGTTATTGCCCTAAATAATTATATTGATGTTGTTCAAAGAATATTAAGTATATACCCTACCCAACCCTATAGAGTTGATTTATTCCCCCCAATAATATATTGATGTTGATTAAAGGATATTAAATATATGCCCGACCCAGAGAGAGTTGAGTTGTTAATGAATCATGACAATAAAAATTGTTTATAGTACAGACCCCTAATCCCCAAACGGTACGCAGGCATGGGCTAGAAAGTGGGGACGGTAATGAGGTGAATATTAAAGGGGAATTAGATAAATAGTTGACAGTTATCGCTATAATAGTTTTCAAAAATAGATAACGTAAGTAGAATATGCTGAAAATTTCAGTCAAATTGCTCCACTCTCAACTGAGATATTAACTTTTGAATTTTAGTTTAGCCTCGATCATCATTACTAAAGTCGGTACGATTATAAACAAAGTCTCGATTATCCTTCACAAAATGTATTCCAATCCGCTAAATATCACAGGCTAGAGATGGCATCAAGAGTTGTTTATGGTCTGGATAAGTTAATTAATGTCTAATTAATAATTTAGATAACATTTCAGGCCTAAAGAAAGACCTGCAATAGCCAGATTTAGCTCTTGCATAATGTATGTTTAAACAAGACACAACTTAAAGAAATATAATTACTGAACGACATTTTGACTAAACTTCTCTAGTCTGTATCATGCAATTATATAAATATAGGATAGGTGTTACCGTGAGATGAAATGAAGTGGGGTTTAACGTCCTACTGCTCTGCTCCGACTTGGCTAAAGGAGACGGGCATTCGCCATACAGTGTAATATGTGTGGGAAATTAAGCCCGGACAGCGGCGCTACGGCCTACTCTTATATCGAATTCCAATTACCAAGGAATCTTTTACGTTCACTCCAATGTGTACACAGGACCTCGTTTATTCGTCCAATCGGAACGACTAGACAGCTGTCCTTGCCAGCCCCCCCCCCTCCATCCTACATCACTGACCAGGGAAAATCTCGATGAACTTCCAGGTGTTAGCATATCTTTGGCATTACCATAATCAACTTTGATCATTTCCGTAATAACGTTATATTAATTAAGTTAGGTCTCCTTCATAGCCGTTAGTGGCACTTCTCTGACTGGTCATCTTTAAACAAAATAATTTTTACATGTCTATAATGTTCCATTTTTATCTGCATTAGCCCAGTCGGTGCAGAAACCAGGACGTTAAACCCTATTTCATTCCATTTCCATTTTTATCATTATTTGATAAAGTCTAGTAAAAATGCTGCCCAGCAATAAACAACATTCTAAATACCAATGAATAAAACAATTTATGAAGAATAGCAATACAGCGAGTACAACGAAACAAGTGGCGAGTGCATGCCAGGCATCTAGCAAACAAACATCAAATTACTTTTGTTTTGTTTTTTATTTTGTAAGAAATGTCTACCAGGAATAACTTGAGGCATGTTATACATATTATGTAACCTAAGATAGATATTTCCTGTTTCAGGTTTGGAATATAAACACGAAGATTTGATTGATAATTATGTAAGTTGAAACGTTCTTTCATAATAAAATTTTTATTTTTATAATAAAAATCAGAATATGCTGTTGATGGCATTTTATTTCTGATATATTTAAGGCACCTGAAGCTAGCTATGATTTCAACAATAAGAATCCTGATCCAACTCCACGATATGATCCTACCAACGAGAACAAGTCAGTTTGTATTCCAATTTAATATGTTTTTTCTTTATAATTTAACATCTTAAGATTATGGAAGGATTTATTCTTTTAAATCAAAATCGGAGAAATGAGGCGCAACGATCAACTGGATTATTTGTATTTCTTTCTTTTTTTTGGTGGAGGGGGGAGGGGTGTAATGTTGGCCATCGAACCGAACCAACGATGGTCACATAAATTAAACACATGTTCTTTTTATTTAAGATCTCAATAATGCTTTTTGAATAGAATTATATACAATTTTAAAGTTGACATTTACTCAAAGAAGTAAACATTATGAACCTTATAAACCTCTGTGATTATCCAATTCATGTGATAGCTAGTGTCGTACACGATGCAACGTATACTTTAAGATTTTTCGAATAATCTGATACTACTTGGCATGTTACTTGATAAAGTCGTTTCTTCTTTTCTGTATTTGATAGGATAATTGGTACTGGTTTTTATTTTTCAAAAGTTTGTGATTATTTTTCCATTTATCATATTCGACATATTTGTTCAATTTAGGCATGGGACTAGGTGTGCTGGGGAGGTTGCAATGAAAGCTGATAATGATAAATGTGGTGTAGGTGTGGCCTTTAATGCTAAGATTGGGGGTATTAAAATCCTTGATGGTACGGTTACTGATACACTAGAAGGAGAAGCACTACAGTTTGCCCATGATAAAATCGACATCTACAGTGCTTCATGGGGTCCTAATGATGATGGTCATACAGTGGAAGGTCCTGGTCGACTAGCAACACAGGCGTTCAAAAATGGAGTCACAAAGGTGGGATAAAATTGTATTAACAGCGAGCAAGATGCTTAAAACGGATAAAAAGACATACAACGTTTCTGGCAAATGCACTTATTCAAATAAATAAAACCAGAAACAGATATCGCTAAGATGTGGATTCAATACACACCGCTTTGCTTCTCTAGATAGCGGTTCGCTTAGGTGGTAAAATTGAACCCCTGTAGCCTACGCAACAAACATAAGGCAAATAGCTATAAAATCCAAACATACCAGAACTGTCATTATTTATAATGATTATTGTAAATTTAAATGGATAGACGAACTGTTCAGGTTGTTTTCTATTATTTAAAGTTATGAAAATTTGGCGAATGTGTCTTATGTTTTATATAGTCAGTAGTGGAATTAGATTGTTCCAGGCGATGGAAATGTTGAGCTCTTTTCTTAATATCTGAACACATTTGAAATGAATTTCCAGATCAGAAATAAGAATTAAAATGAGGATTAATGTCCTGCTTTGCCGTGGTCAGTAATGCTTTAACAACACAGCCACCATTATCCAAACCATTTGAGACACACGAGACCGTAAAGCCATCCTACATTCTGTAATATATCTATATTTAATTAAAGGGGCGTAATGGTAAAGGTGTTATCTATGTCTGGGCGTCTGGTAATGGTGGTAGACTTTATGATAATTGTGACTGTGATGGATATACTGGTAGTATTTATACACTCTCTATTAGTAGTGCTTCACAAACATTTAAAAAACCCTGGTATGGAGAACTCTGTGCCTCCACGATGGGAACAACATATTCTAGTGGTTCAGCTGTTGATAACCGAGTGGTAAGTTTTGAAAGATTATAATGATAATGTACTATGTGGGGATTCTCATATTAACTTAAATAAGTTGTGTTCTTGATACCCCCTTACTTATGCCCTTTCTACCTTCCAGTTCTATTTAAACGTTTATGTTTATTTTTGCAGATCAGCACGGATTTAAACAATACGTGCACATCTAGTCACACAGGAACATCTGCCGCCGCACCTCTAGCAGCTGGTATTATAGCTCTTCTTCTCGAGGCAAAGTAAGTGTTAGTTAGGTTATTTGCTTGATAAAGACGAGAGTATCCTTGTCGAAACGTCGCTTAATAGTAAACTCAGAAATTGTGTATCCATAAAATTGTACTTTGTGTTATCTGATGGTCTCTTATGATCTTTTTTTTAGAGAAGTAACCCAACAAAAGTTGTGGCTATTTGTGAGGATGTGCTGGAGATTCGACTTATTTTAAAATAGCGCAACAAAGTAACGCTTTTTGATATTATCAAATTAATAAATCAATGTTAAATTGCAATAATTCCGGCCGGGATATTGCAAAATAATTAATCTGGATTTACACGCGTAACAACCAAACCCAACTCTTTTTTTTTTGTTGATCGAGAGAATGTGATTCATCGCCGAGACAAATTGCATCATTAATCATTTAAAGAGAGAAAGAAGAGAGACGGAGGGGGGGGGGGGTCGAGAGACAAACTAGGTCATTTCGGGACTTACATAGGGTTCAATTTTATTACAAAAATTCTCGTACGCATAAGGGTCTTTAGCAGTGGAAGGAAACCGGAGGACCCCTAGGAAATCCACGACGTTGAGCAGGCGACCCACTCCGAGAAATTCCGCGATGTTGGACAGGTGACCATACGCCATGTAACGTACAGGCGGGGAGTCCAAACCACTTGACTCAATGACGGACCTTGTGATGTAACGCCTTCAAGCACCCCACCCCCTCCCCCCCCACCATCTCATTTAAAGTCAGATGTGGGGTGATTTATGCAAAGAAGTTACACTAAGAAGTTTTCACCAAATAAATGAAACTAGGGCTTTTAAACTTACTTTTCTCATAAAATTAAAATTTCCAGCCCTGATTTAACATGGAGAGATGTACAACATTTGGTAACATGGACGTCACAAATAGAACCATTACGTCAAAATAAAGATGACCACGGTTGGGTTAAGAATGGAGCTGGATTTTTAGTGAATACAGCTTTCGGTTTTGGAATCCTAGACGCAACGGGATTAGTAGATGCTGCAAAGGACTGGCAGAACGTTCCAGCTCAATCTGCTTGTGAAGTCGTGGCTACAAAAGATTCTAATTTACCCCAGTAGGTATTTTTTTACAATTAATTCCATGGTTCATATTCTTGCTGCCTCTTACCGTACCCATTCTTTAATAATCTGTGGATTTTCTCTCCTTCCCCGTTGATTACCAGACAATGTAAATAGATTTTTCTGAAATGGCAATTCTTAAATTAATTTCATGGGCGTCGACATCTTGCTTTAATGCTAGTTACTTCCCTTAGATTTTGTTCTCGATAATGTAAAAGAGTGGATAATCTAGCCAATGGCAATAACCTAGTTATTCTCAAATTTTGACAATCCATCCAGACTAATATTCGTAGAATATTTGCCTGAAAGATAGAGACTATCTCGGGAATAGAAATACTATAATAAGTCTAGTATTACAACATTTCTTTTTCATTACATTACTGTTTCTTAATGACAAGAAATTCTCTACAGACTGACTATTAAATCTCTTATACTTCTAGTATTACAAAGCGATACCTTTATATGTGTACTTTCTCCACGATTAAATCAGCCGTGTGCTTTAACAACCACGATAACGTGTAGGCATATTAAAATGATTATAACATATGGAGCGGAATGAACGACGTAATTCGACTTTTAATATAGTAAAGATAATATGCTTACTTCAGTGCATGTAACGTCTTACTTACATACTTACATATGATAGATTGGCTATTTACATATGCAAAAATGTAAATTTCTATTATTTACTTCTTAGATATTGTAGTTGGAATTTGTATTTTGTTCGGTTTCCACTATTACTTTCAATTTATTGTCGCATTCCGCTCCATAATAACATAATTATGTACATTTTTTAAATCAGAAAAATGTAACATTTCAAACACATTAATTTCCACACTTGAAAATAGATATTATAATCGTACATCAAAAAAGGTGTTATTTGTCAACTTTTCCTAAATGAGATTTTTAATGTTTTTAATTTTAAGATCATTAAAAAAAATATATCTGGAAAGTTCAGTAATTGATGTTTTTTATTATTGCATTTCAATGTTTAAGATATTTAGAGATATTTTTACAATAAAACAATCGTTCCGCCGAGGTTTGATAGCTTTTGATTTGTTTTTTTTTTTCGCGTGGGAGGGTTTTGTTTTTCAACACCTGTGCTTAGTATATTAGTTACACATTTTGGAATAAAAATGTTATTTAAAAAATAATATTACACAGATATAAATATGACGATAAATATCATCAAAAAATATTCTGGAAAGTTCATTAATTGAAGATTTTGTATCATTGCATTTCAATATTTACGATAAGCTTATAAACGCCATACTTTAGCGATGTCTTCAAAATGAAGCAAACATTGTTCACTGTAGAGATATGAGAGCTTTCGATTCAAGTTTTTTTGGGGTGGTGGAGTGGTTGAGATGTACACTTTAGTTTCACATTCGTTTATGTATTGGCGTCAAGGGATCGAACATGGGACCTCCAGCCAATGTCTTGCTATGCCGCCATGGCTCCACAATGCGTGTAGCAATTGCTTTACGAATTATTATAACTTTGAAAGGAATGGGTTATAGGATATATGATGTGGTTTTACGTTTTCCCTTTTTATAGAGCACTAAAGAGTAATCAGAAATTAGAGATAGAAATAGATACTAGTGGTTGTAAAGGCCAAGCTAATGAAGTTAATTATATAGAACATGTTCAACTTAAATTAACTTTAGATTATACAAAACGAGGAGCTGTTAGTGTGTATTTAATATCGCCTTCCGGTAAGTTTATCTTTTGTCTCTTACTCTTAACTTTAAAGATGAATTATGCAAGAGCGAATCTGACCTATTGCCGTGTATGCTTCTGGCTTAGAATGCAATATGCATTAATATTTCGACATTTATTCACGTGACCATAATCAACGCTCTAGAACATCGGATGATTTAGATATTTCGTGGATAAGACAATACCAGCCTCATCTGCGTTAAACGAGAACATGACCAGACTACCAATTAAAGGACTGACAATCGAGATTTCGTTTTATCATGGTAGTTGGCGGTCGAGAAAACGTACCTTGTCGGTGTTTCCATTTCCAATCATGGCATGACTTCGCTCAAAATAAAGTAATTTGACTGAAATTTTCAATTAATTCATTTTTCATTATCCATTTTTGAACTGCTATGGCGATAAGCTCTTTCTCTAAATCCTGCACAATGCATCTTTAATTAAGTCCCAGCTAAGCACAACCACCCCTCGCAAAGCTTGTATTGTTTTCTTCCCCAAAATATCAATAACTTGGTAATATCTCTGGACTTAAAACAAAAAAGCATGAAAATAATGTAAAATAAATAAAAGTCTTTAACTTTTGACTGGATATGCTACCAATTTATTCTATTAAATTATGGTTCGGCATGAGAGCGTATAATATTCTGTTGATACATTGACATGGGATGGATACAATATAGACAATGGTACGAAAATACAATCCATACAATGTTAATGTTATGATGGCTCGCTAACCATAGTTTCCGCTTGTCATTGATGCAGGACGAGGTTTCTGGCTCGGAATAGCCTCTGGTCGTTCGGATAGGAAGAACAACCGATTCCCATGTACACATTGTCGTGCACGTAAAAGAACCCTTGACAGTTGGAATTCGAAATAAGAGTAGACCGCTGTTGTCCGGGCAAAATCTCCCCCATAGGTGATCACTGCATGGCGTATGCCTGTCTTCATGAGCCCGAGTGGAGTCGAACAGTGGGAAGTTAGACCCCATTTCATTTCATTTTCAACAATAGCGGTTCATAATAAATTAATTTATTGTGTGTTTTTCATGTAACAGGTACTTCAACCATGTTGTTATCAGCGCGACCTTATGATAAATCTACGCAGGGCTTCCAGAGCTGGCCACTCATGTCGGTTCATAACTGGGGTGAAAATCCTTCTGGTAAATGGAAAGTCGTTCTTGAAGATACCGTGAGTTGTTTTTTTTTTTTTTGGCACCTTGATACAACGTATATTCTTGAAATTTACAACTGCCAATAACATTGATTTCGTCCTCGCCAGACGCTGGCTCGCTAGTCTGGAGGTCGGGTGTTCGATCCCAGCATTGGCCGTGAAAGTTAATCCAGATTTTCCGGCGTGATTCCCCCTTGCCAGTAATGCAGGACGAGGGCCTGACAAGGACAGTTGTCTAGTCGTTCGGATGAGACGAAAAACCGAAGTCCCGTGTACACATTGGTGTGCACGTAAAGGATCCATTGGCAGTTGGAATTCGATATAAGAGTATGCCGTAGTGCCGCTGTCCAGGCAAAATTTCCCTCATAGCAAGCACACTATGGCTATGCCTGTCTTCGGAGCAGAACAGTAAGACTTTAAACCTAATTTCATGCAATTTCAGATAACTCAGCTGGCATTCGCACATTAGTTCGCGTAGAAGATTCGACGAAGAGCAGTTGTGAACGCCGCTGTTGGGGGGGGGGGAAGTTCTCCTTGTATAGGTTGTGACCAAATAAAGACAAAGTACAGGTTTTGATGATAATTTAAAAGCATTCCTGTACCATCATTTATATTTTTTCTCTCTCTGTGCTTTCAGACTAATGATAAGAATACAGGCATAGTGAAGGATTTAAAACTTGTTATTCATGGTACTATGGAACAACCACATCATATGAAGAATGGTCCTAGAACTTATATCCGGAATTATAACAATGTACAAAACAAGGAAAAGGTGGGTTGTTATTTTAAGATTCAGATTTAAGCATTTCTTAAATTTGTTTTGGGGGGTTGGATGACCGAATGGTTAGCACGTGCGCGCTGTATTGTAAGGCCTGTCATTGAGTCAACTGGCGTGGTTTCTAATCCCGGTTGTACGTGACAAGGAGTAGGGTCGCCTGTCCAACCTCATGGGTTTTTTCCGGGTCCTCCGGTTTCCTCCCACTGCTAAAGACCCCTACGCGCTAGCGAATTATTGAAATAAAATAATAAAAAAATAAACCATATGTTAGTCCCGAAATGACCTAGTTTGTATCTAGTGGACGGTAAACCCCATCCCTCTCTCGCTCTCTCTCTCTCTCTCTAAATTTGTTTTAAATTGAACGACAATTTGAACTTGGGTGTATACAACAACGGGTCAATGACCATCTATATTCGTCTATTTGTTTTTTTAAAATACCATTACCAAAAACTGTTGACAACGTGAATCCCCTAAATCAATTTTTACACCCAGTCTTCATGCCTGTTACTAGTGTGTGTGTGTGTGTGGGGGGGGGGGGCTCTGCAAAATGTTTTCGAACCCAGCATTGATCGAGACAGTTCATCGGTATTTTCCGACATGGTTGCCCCTTGTCAGTGGTGCAGGACAGATGACCCGGCAAGGGACAACGTATAGTCGTTCGGATGGGACGAAAAACCAAGGTCCCGTGTACACATTGGCATGCAGTAGGCCGTAGCGCCGGTGTCCGGGCAAAATTTCCCTCACAGCACACTGTATGACGTATGCTCGTTTGCATTCGCCCAGTCGGAGCAGACGTTAAACCCCATTTTATTTTATAAACCAGTTTCAATGTTTGATATTTAGTTAATGCTTTGTTGTTATCTTGTTTCAGCCTGAACAGTCACCTGAGTCTTTGATTAATGGAGAAACATTATTGAAATTAAATTATCTCAAAGATTCCGTGCGAGGCCTCAAAGCCTTGTTTCAGGGGATGTAAAAGTGATGGATGTTTGCGTCGGCTCAGAACTTCCCATAATTGTCACGTTAATACTATCAAAACTATAACTTAAAATTCAAAAACCCTTCTTAACCGTAAGTTTTAGTATTTGAGCTTAATAGGGGATAGAAGAGTCTTTTGAACAGTTCACAGAAAGACGTGTACTAGACCAAAGACTAAACACTAATTTTGAGCTGACTGCAAATGGACCATTACAACAGTCACATCTTTACACCATTCTCTGAAGAAATAAAGATATTGGCTGTAAATAATTCTTTCTCTTCATTTCCATGGTCTTCATAGAATAGCATTATTTTTGAGTATATACGGACCTTATTCACGAAACTTCAATCCAATAAAATCTGTTATACTATTGAAAAATCTTGATTTTTAAAAATGACAGCTCGCATTGGTATTCAATCCGGTAAAATCTGTTGCAATTGAAAAATCTTAATTTTTAAAAATGACAGCTCGCAATGGTATCTAATGGATGTTTATAAGAATGTGAGTTAAAAACTGTCAAATTGTCTCGGAGAGCTTTTCCATCCACTTCCAAACAGGTATAACACCCCACCGACTTAATACCACCCTCCTCACCCCAGCGACTAGAACTATATGTAAAAGATCAGCATATATCTACTCTGTCAACCCGACTTTTGTAGCCTAATCTTAAAACAAGACAGTGTCAACCTTATGATTAACATTATTTTTTTCATTACAATATGAATATAATTGGTATTCGGATTGATACCCATATTGCTACTTTAAGGTTGAAGTAGCTAAGTCCGTAACTCAATATCATCCAAAATCTTCGACATTGAAAACACGATTTTTTTTTTCAAATTTAAATCAACATTGGTGTTGTGATCTTACCTGGAAAAGTTGGGCTTCTGATATCCAATATTTAAGACAAAATAAACATTTTACCATTGGTACACGAATCGTGTACCATAATGCGATTCAGCGCCATTTGTAACAAGGTGCTCAAAGAATGAGGCTAGACATATTCCACAAGTCATGTCAAACGGTGATATCATGTTCTTATTTGGAGAGATGCGCAATAAATAATATCGGTGTTGACTGGAATAACCAGACGCTAGAAACTGAATGTAAAACAGTTTATATAAATTCATATTACATTATTATATGTGTTGCGACCCATTTGTGCCAATTTCTAGGTACAAAATATTAGCGATTTAGCTCCTTTAACAGCGGCTTCTTTTGATATCTTAAAACATATTAGATATATTAATTCATTTTGTTTTACCTTGGAGAGAGAGAGAGAAGTGGGAATTAACGTCCACTTGACGCAAACTATGATCAATTAACAGTGGGAGGAAACCGGAGAAAACCCACAAGGTTGGACAGAAGACCCTACTCCTTTTCACGTACAACCGGGGAATCGAAACCACAACAGTTGACTCAGCGACAGACCTTATGATACAACGCGCACGCGCCAACCATTCAGCCATCCAACCCCCCACTTTACCCTGGGCCCTATAGATAGGGTCGATACTTTTCTAGTGTCACGGTGCAAGATTTTGCAACGGAAAACTATCAAATAACAGTTGACTCAGCGACAGACCTTATGATACAACGCGCACGCGCCAACCATTCAGCCATCCAACCCCCCACTTTACCTTGGGCCCTATAGATAGGGTCGATACTTTTCTAGTGTCACGGTGCAAGATTTTGCAACGGAAAACTATCAAATGAACCATAGTTTTCTTCATCAATCAAATTTTGCCAAAAGGGCCACACATAAATTATTATCGGCATACTTGTGTGTAATATCACGTGTGGTTAAAACACAAATTGTATTTCGTTTCGTTTTTATAGTTTAAATTTCGTTTTATTAGTTGTCAAGACAGTAAGATCAGGAGGGAATTTAAAATGAACCCCGTTCTCTATCATGTAAGAGATAAGCCAATGAAATGGTCTCTTTAGTTAAACTTGGGGCTAAGTGTGCACTGAATTATGGAAGACATCTATTGGGTAGTATAGAACGAAATGAAATGAAATGGGGTTTAACGTCCTACTGATCTGCTCCTATGCTGGGCTAATGAAGACGGACATACGTCATACACTGTCCTATGAAGGCAATTTTGCCCGGGCAGCAGCACTATCGCCTACTCTTATATCGAATTCCAACTGTCAAGGAATCTTTTTCGTGCATTCCAATGTATAAACGGGACCTCGGTTTTTCGTCTCATCCGAAGGACTAGACAGCTGTCCTTGTCAGGCACTCCGTCCTGCATCACTGGATGAACTTTCTCGGCCAATGCAGGGATCGAACACTCGACCTCCAGGCTAGCGAGTAGTATAGAACAAAACACAAATTACATATAATCAGTTTATATGGGCTAGGTGAAGGGGACGTTATGCATCATGGGTTTAGAGTTTTTGCGCCCACAGTAGTTTAAATGCAGTTTTCAACCTATTATCATAATCATATTGCTTAACCAGTGCCAACCATATACTGCGGCTCAGGTGTGTTACAAATCAACTCTTGCATTTTCTACATAGCCCAAAATTCCTCGGTATGAATATTTTGTTTTTGCGTCCCATGGGATCTTGTTCCTCATGCAGAAGTCACCATACTTCTGAAGTCCACCCGTAATAGATTGTATTTTCTACACAGCCCAAAATTCTTCGGTGCGGAGTTAGACCCTACGCCTCCACTCGATATGAATATTATGTTTTTGCACCCCATGGGATTTTGTACCTCATGCAGAAGGCAACATGCCTCTGAAGTCCACCCGTAATATAACAAAGAAATTGTCATTAATGTTTTAAAATTTTTATTTTAAATACTAACCATATAAGGGATTTCTATGTCAGACGACAATGATAATGAACATGATTAAATGAGTTAATACATAATGTAATACTACATGCACTAATAAATTTAGGAATAGTTTGTGAGTTTTCCTTCAAAATGCAATGACAAGTTGAACGAGATCTTTGAATGAAATAGATGCAAGGCACAAGAGTATTAAACTAATTCTAACAGGAAAAAAAGAATTATTTATGGACACCCAACCTAAATGAAGCTAAGACATATATTAAAAAATAATTGTTGTTTAAAACAACATTCTGACAATTATTGTTTTAAGTTGATAATAAAATGAGCTTTACATATCTTAAAGTCATATTAATAAAGTTCCCTTTTCTATATTGCAAACATTTCCCATATCTTTTAGGTTTTAAATATTCTTTTAACATTTCCAATCTTACAAAAACATCTTAAATCTTTTCAATCATATCATTCATACAGTTTCAGGCATAATTTACATACATAATTTTATAAATTGAGAAGCATTACATAAGTGAAATAGCTGTTGAGTATGGGGATGTATAATGGTTATACATTGAATACTGGCCAATAAAAGGATTCTAGATTATAAAAAAACCACCACAGACGGGCTAACATTTGTTGGCCGAACAATGTTTTGTGACAAAAGTTAGCCAAAGTTAGCCAGAGGGGCTAACATTTGTTGGCCGAACAATGTTTTGTGACAAAAGTTAGCCGGGGTGTGTTGGATTTCAACCCGAACAATTTTTGCAAGATCAAACTTGTTAGATTTCAAAATCATTGCTCGACCAATGTTGATGTTGGTCTTGTTTGCGTTGAATTTGAACAAACAGTAAAACATTATATAAGGCTATACAATCAGTATTTTGTTAACGATGAAGTGGTACAGAAATGGTTGAGTCACCTTTTTGTGATCATCTGAAGTTTGTGTCAAAAGTTGTTTTTTTTTTTAACAAATGCTGGTTGGATACATTGAACATTCTTCATTTGTGGGTAATTTAAAAAATAAAAAGGTATACAACATTTATTTTGACAAACCCCAACAAATGTTAGTCAATCTGTAGTGGGCTTTAGTGCCAGTAAGTTCGATATAAAGCATAAACTACTATTCATCAATGAAACTGGTCCCAAACAAGAATATACCATTACTACAATTTCCTAGTTAATTAACAAATATACATCTTTAATAACAATTTATTCGAGCTTTTGTACAATTCTCTTTTATTGCTCTGAGTACAAACTAATAATATACATAAATACTTAAAGGAGAAATTAGCCATTACAATTTTAATTATAAACCTATTGTAAGTTAGTTTCATTCATTCAAAACCTGCTGATTTGTTTATTTATAGTTACTGTTAAGGTGTTAATTTTTTTATCAATTAATGGCAAAAGAATATGAACTTTACAGTGTCAATTGGTAAAACTATTTTAACACTAAATACAAAATCTGCAATGACTAGAGTTCTCCTTTATCTTAGTACAAGTTCCATTGAGTCACATATCATGATGATAACAACATAGGTTTGAAAGAACTAACACAATATACATATAAAATATCCTAACCATGATTCATGTTAAAGTTCCTCTTTTTCTAATTCTGATAAATTATCATCATCTTCTTCTGTGTCATCATCATCTACATCCTGTATAAGACTTTCACTTTCTTCTTCAGCAGCAGCAGTAGGTAATGGTATATTTAAATCTTCCCCAGTACATGCAGCTGTAATAGTATGGTCATAACATTAGTGAGATAATTAATTAAACAATACAGACTGGCTAAGTGTAGGGGTTAACATCCACTTTGATCCCAGGTGGTATTGCAGACTGCCATGGAATAGAGTTCGAAATTTTTTAAAACAGGGGTCTAAACCTTCAATTGAACCCAAGGGGGATAACTCTTGTTTTGTAGAACACAATCTTGTGAGCACATTCTTGTACTGTAATGTTTGGGGACTCTGAGAAAGTGTTATTGTTTTAAAGACTATTTTAAACAGCAGATGGTTATATTTATATTATAAAACTTACAAACAATATCTCCACATATAGCTTTTTCTATTTCTGGTAAAACTTCTCTTTTAAATAAACCAATCATATCCTCTTCATGGTCCTCAATAACAGATTCACACTGAAATCCATTTAAAATAAACATTTACAATTTAATGGTTACATAATATTTCTATGTCTATTTATTTTATTCCATAATCATTTTCTTCAGGTGCTCGCTTCATAAAGCAAATGTAACATTACATATGTAAATTAAACATAGATTATGCAAGAGCTAAATCTGTCTATTGCAGGTCTTTCTTTAGGCCTGAAATGTTATCTACATTATTAATTAGACATTAATTAACTTATCCAGACCATAGTCAACTCTAGATGGCATTGCTAGCCTGCGATCTTTAGTGGATTATAATCCGATTTACTGCATAACTTTCCTTCACGATTTAACGATTAAATGGATAATTGAGACTATGCTGTTTATCATACTGACTTTAATAATTATTATCGAGGCTAGGCGGAAATTTCAATCGCTTAGTTCTTGGTTCATAGTGGATCAATTTGAATAAAATTTTCAGCAAATTGCCTTTACATTATCTAGTTTTTAACTATTATAGTGAGAACTGCCAACTCGTTATCGAATCTCCCATAATGTATCTTTAAATAGAATTTATAGCAAAATATTTTAATTGTGCTTCATGAAACATGACCCACGAAAAACAAGATCAACTCACATAAAATTTAATTGTTTTCTGTGATTCTTTGTCTGTCGAGAGATTTTTTAAAGATAAAGCTTTGCCAGTTCGTGATGTTGTTCTAACTACACTAGTTCGACCACTGGTGACATCAGTAGTTTTAACATAGTCATCCATCTTGTGACATATACCTTCCATTAATTCAGTTAAATGTGTCTCAGATCTAGCATAAGGTTTCTGAAAAAATGTTGTATATCTATATATAGGTGATTTAATAATAATAATAGTAATAATAGTCTATTTATATTGTGCAATATCCATGCATGATTTGTCTTAGTAAATGCAAATGAGGGGGGTTGGATGGCTGAATGGTTACTGTGTGCGTGCTGTATCATAAGGTCTGTCATTGAGTCAACTGGCATGGTTTTGATTCCCAGGTTGTACGTGACAAGGAGTAGGGTCACCTGTCCAACCTCGTGGGTTTTCTCCGGGTTCTCCAATTTCCTCCCACTGCTAAAAAACCCCACGTGCAAGTGAATTATTGAAATAAAATTGAACCATGTTCTAGTCCCGATATTACCTAGTTTTTGTGGAGTGAATGTTAAACTCATTTCTCTCTCTCTCTCTCCGAGATGCAAATGAATTGAAATAAGGTTTAACATTCTACCCTTTCTGCAGTAACCAGGCTTATCAAGACGGGCATACACCATGTAGTGTGCTATGCGGGGAACTTTTGCCCTGGCAGCAGCAGTACAGCCTGCCTTTATTTCGAATTCCAATTGTCAAGGGTTCTTTTACATGCATGCCAATCAGAAAGACTAGATACTGTTCCTTTAAAGGCCCTCAATTCTGCACCACTGACAAGGAACAACCACCCTGAAAAGTTCTGCAGAACTTTCTCATCCAATACCAGGATCGAACCCCATAGCTTTGGTTAATGAGTCGGCACCTTACTGACTGAGCAACATTTCAAAATGCTCTGTGCAGTCTTAATGGTATATGTCTAAAGCTTGTAGTGCCACATTTAGTTGAATGAGATTTTAGTGTCTGCCAGTGACTTATTAGAAAACCAAAACGATACCTTTCACCCAAAACCAGTTAATGTGACACTGACACATGAATAAACAAGTTTATAATTTTTAACGATGTGTGGGTAGTTTCAAATATTCATAGTTGGCTTCATATCATGGTTTTTAACAACCAATAATATCAACTTAAAACTTTACTTATTAAATTCCCTTTTAACAACATAATTAAGACATGGCTTCACCAAAAACCATTGCTCATTGCAACTTGTAGAGACCATTCTGATGTCAGGAATCAATACCGTACCTCTGAAATTGCTTGGTTGCCATGTGTATCAACACGGAAACTACCAACTTGAACAGTTTTCTTGGGATCCACTTCGCTTATACTCCAGTTAATTTCATCCACTAAAGCTCTACATACTACAAAAGACAAATTTTTAATACAATTAAACGATTGAATCAAAATTCATTCAAGACCAACTAATAATATTTGGTCTTTTTATTTCAATGGTAGATAAAAGAAAAAACATGGGTCATTACTTAAATTAGTAGCGTGCAACTCGTGAGCATCGAGCGAGCCGACTTTATACATGTAGAAATGAAATGGGGTTTAACTTTTATGCACTGACTAGGCTAAGAAATGAAATGAAATGGGGGTTTAACAACGATCCTACTGTTCTGTTCCAACTAGGCTAATCAAGACAGGCATATGCCATACAGTGTGCTATGAGGTAAATTTTGCCCAGACATCAGCGCTACGTCCTACTCTTGTATCAAATTCCAACTTCGAGGGATCTTTTACATGCACACCAATGTGTAAACGGGACTTCGGTTTTTTAACCATCCGAATGACTAGACAGCTGTCCTTGTTAGGCCCTCCATCCTGTACCACTGACAAGGGGAATTTTAAACCACACCGGTAAATCCTGATGAACTTTTTCCGCCAACAACGCGAGAGTGGTTCCCAACTAGACTAAGGAAGATAGGGCTAACTCTATAAATAATATTTTACAGGTGCAGTACATGAGGGCTAATTTGTAAACAATAACAATCTTAGTCTATCCTAGCCATTTATCTTCTAAAACAGAAACAACTTCTGTCTTTTTATGATTTTAGTTTCATGATTTATGATATTGGCTTGATAATGGAGGAATTCTAAGAATCTACTGCAGTCTCATTTTCCAAACTCAGAATAAAAAGACAAGTAAATAGAAAGTGCCATGCCTATTTCTAATTATGGTAGGCCTATAGTTACTTTAGTAATGTATTGTATCAGCTCTGCTCTCTACTACGTTACTGGCGCGTGCTCTATACAACTAATATGAAAATAGGATTCCAAAATAGCCTTAGAACGGAGATGGGGGAAAAGCCTTATTTTCATATTAGTTGTATAGAGCACGCGCCAGTAACGTAGTAGAGAGCAGAGCTGATACAATACGTTACTAAAGTGTATTATTTTTGGCTTCCTAAAATAATTATTACCTGCACAATAAAGTTGCTTATCTCGTTTACTATCAACGGAAATAACAAAATAACTTGCAATATATAAAAGTACACTCTTCAAATTCATTTTCTCTACCTCCTGAAATTAAAAATACTAAATACTGCACTGGTATTGTCAAAATCACTAATAAATCTAAATTATTGTCAAAATCAATAAAAAATAATTAATTTTTGTTCTAAAAACAATAATAATATTGGTGTGATAACGGTAGTATACTTGGGCCATTAATAAAAAATTTAAATACTCACAGTGACTTCTGGAAGAGGTGCTAATTGTTTATGATACCGGTGGTAGACGAATGGCCTGGTCTCTACTTTTACTTTAGAATTTTGATCAAAGAGATGTGTATTTTTTTGATTGGATGACAGTCTACCAGTCAAGTAGAGATTTCCTGCAAACACATGAATTAAAATTGTACGTATAAGTTTATTGTCTGGGTTTACACAAACTAATTTAGTATTTACGTGACAACCAGAAAAAATTCTCTTCGAAAATTCCACCTTATATTCACCGGTTCCAAAATCCAGTTTCTTCTGTCGATGTCCCCTCAAACCTTGCAAAATAAATTATTATTTTTATTTTCCTGAAAATCGTTGAATTATAAATCTGTTATAATTTCATTCAATTAAAATATAAAAATATAGAATGTACCAAAAGGTTATAATACTTTACGTGTAATTTCAGTAAATAGTGAACATAAAATTGATATTTATATGGGCGTAAGCGATCGTCTTCGCAAAAACAGGAAGTGGAAATGAAACTAGAGTTGTTACGTCCTACCTTCCTGTCACAGAAGTTCCACGCACAGAAATAATAAACAAGTCAATAATTTCGTCTGAATTTTTAGTGGCAATGCTGAAAAGTGGGTAAAATTCAATTGTATATGAATTATTTTACGATACACGAATCAGTCCAAGTAAATCTGGATTTAGTGCTGCTTAAAAATAGAGATGCTCGCTTTATGGAAAAATTAGACGCATGCTATTGAATTGATCATGACATGCTGAAAGTAATTAAATCTTTATCAAATCAATTTAAAATAAATGTTATCAACTATAAAATACAGGTAGGCTTGGCTATAACTCTTTGATTTGAGTCAAAAATATAATTGTCGATAGCATTGGATTTTGTATTTTGAATTATTTTGACAATAATTACTCTGATCGAAACATATAATTTAAATTATATAACATCATCACATTTATATCAGTTGAATGATGTTTTCTACATAACTATCTCATGTCATTATCGAAACTCCGGTATGGATTAATTGTTCAAAAGTCTTTATGTCATGTCACTGGATTTGCAAACAATTTAATTTAATATATTCTCTTTTAAGCCTTTTTAGTCCTCATATCTTCCTTTATAAGACCATGGACACTAATATAAGTCATCAGTCTGCAGTACCATATATTTTATCATAACAAGTTCATCAATGTAGAGACCATACAGACCGTAATGTTGAGCTTCAAACTAAATCAAATTTTAACCTCAATGGTTTTATTGTAAGATCTCAAAGGGCTGTACTGTCAATTCATAAAATTGCACAAGAGTTTACTTGTTTTAACCCCAATATATTTACAACAGTATTTTTTGTTTTTTATCAGGACCTTCTTACAGTGTATTAAGAAATGTCTGGAAGCTGAATAAAACAAGATTCATCCGATCATGGTTGAAGAAATCCAGCTATCACTCTCCAGCCTTGGTTATGCCACATACAGTTAGTCCAGTCCGACCATTTCCAGATCATATACCGAAACCACCATATATAACAGATCCAAGCTGTATTGTTAAAGCTAAGTCAGGGGATATAGAGATTAAAACCGCTAGTCAGATTAATGGAATGAGAGCAGTGTGTAAATTAGCTAGGAATATCTTAAACTATACAAAAACAAAACTTGAAGTAAGTTTATGGATATATTGTCACAATTTTAATCGCTATGACACAGTGGATAATCAAAATTTCTGAATGTGGGGTGCCACAAAATATGAACATCATTTTAAATTTCTATAACCGTATTTATGTCCATTTGCAAACAAGTGGGTAGAAAACAAGATTCTGTACCATGCCGCATAAAAATGAAATGAAATGGGGTTTAACGTTCTACTGTTCTGCTCCAAACTGGGCTAATGAAGACAGGCATACGCCATACAGTGTACTATGAGGGAAATTTTGCCCGGACAGTGGCACTACGGCCTACTCATATCGAATTCCAACTGTCAAGGGATCTTGTACGTGCACTGAAAAAGGGGAACCACAACGGAAAATCTGAATGAACTTTCTCAGCCAGTGCAGGGATCGACCACCCGACCGCCAGGCTAGTGAGCCAGCATCTTACCCACTTAGCCACTGTGACCCCCAATACCTCACAAACACCATTGTTTTACAAGATGTAGATAAATTTACTGCTAGTTTTTGATTTTGATTCATGAACTCATTGATAAACTAGAGTAGAAAAGTTTAAAATTTCATCTGATTGTTTTTTTCTGCATCCCTGTATGATCAAGAAGAGATCTTGTAACAGACTTGTTAATAACTTTATTTGATTGTAAATGTAATGATTGAATGAGGTTTAATGTCTCATCCACACAATTCCTTGGTCATTTTAATATATGGCCATATTCATTTCTACATGTGTACAATGCAAGGAGAATTATGCCTGGACTGAACTGCCAAAGCAAGGGTGGTGGGGGGGGGTAGTTTTTTGCCTCATCTGAATGACTTGGCACACTTTTCTTGTCAGCCTGGACAAATGAGAACCAGGTTTGAAAAATCCTGATGGCGCACATGGATTCGATCTCAGTAAATTCTAGTTGAGAATCCAAAGACCATTCGCTCTACTATGAAATTTAATACACGTTATATATTAGAGGGATTTTAAATCCCTGGTAAAATACATATCGTGAAAGCTCAGTCCAACATTCGGCCTCCTCTGCAGACAATATAAATGATCTAGTCAATTAGAGTTATCATCACACATTTGTATTATCACATTCAAAGTTAAAATTTTGTTGTCTTGTATTTTCAGATTGGAATGACGACAGAAGATATAGATATGATAATATATAATAAATGTATAGAGACACAGTGTTATCCCTCTCCATTATTATATAGAGGTTTTCCCAAATGTGTTTGTACATCTGTTAATAATGTAGCTTGTCATGGTATACCTGATGATAGAAAACTAGTCAATGGTGATATTATTAATATAGATATAACCGTAAGTTGTGATATTATAGATATAACAGCAAGTTGTGATATTGTTAATATAGAGATAACAAAGTTGTGATATTATTAATATAGATATAACAGTAAGTTGTGATATTATTAATATAGATATAACAGTAAGTTGTGATATTATTGATATAGATACAACAGTAAGTTGTGATATTATTGATATAGATACAACAGTAAGTTGTGATATTATTAATATAGATACAACAGTAAGTTGTGATATTATAGATATAACAGTAAGTTAACAGGAATTGTGATATTATTTATATAGGTATAACAGTAAGTCATGATATGGCAAATCATAAATAAAGACCTTGATATTGCCTGGTTCTAAATTTCTTTTAATGATCAGGTATACTTTAATGGTTACCATGGAGATTTATCAGAAACATATCTAATTGGTCAAGTAGATGAAGAAGGTCAGAATTTAGTGTCTGCTGCTAAAAAATGTCGAGATGCTGGTATTGCCGTCTGTAAACCTGGTGTAAAATTCTCACAAATTGGTAAACATATCAGGTTAGTCCATTAAAAAAACTACTGTAAGTTTGACATGTACATTTCTGTTCCAGATTGCCAGAATATGGTTAGCTGTGGTTCACGTGATACACAGAAATTTTCAGTCATAGTGTCTTCCACCTTTTAAGTCAGAGTATGTGGGGTGCTATCAAATTAATTTTATTTCAAGTCAATGGATTTTTTTAGAACATCTCAGTCAATGGCGTAGGTTCGAACATCATTGCCATCTGTAATTAGATTGGTCGACTCTTTCAGTCATATTCTTGAAAATGCAAAAACTCTATTTCAAGGGAATGAATTTTGTGGAGATTGTAAGTAAGTGCTTGACCATTCCCTATCAAAATTGCCTGAATCTTGATAGATTTTTAATTCAAACAGGGGCTTAATCATTTTTGGACTGATATTTCTTTAAGAGATTCAACTGTCCTTAATATCACAGACAATTGGCAAATGCTATGAATGCACAATTTTTAGCATACTGGAATTTCTTTTGTCCATTCTATGAAGTGCAATATTAAATGACTATTTTATACTGTTATTTTGGGGAGACACTGTGGCTCAGTGAGTAAGACGTTCGTTTGCTAACCTGGAGGTCCCAAGTTCGATCCCTGCATTGGCCGAGAAATTTTATCAGGATTTTCCAGCATAGTTCCCAGAGTGGTGCAGGACAGAGGCAAGGGACAAAGTATAGTCAATAAGATGGAATGAAAAACCAAGGTCCTGTGTACACAATTGCGTGCACATGAAACATCCCTTGGCAGTTGGAATTCAATATAAGGGTAGGCTGTAACACTGCTGTCCGGGCAAAATTTCCCTCATGGCACACTGTATGCCATAAGCCTGTCTTTCATTAGCTCAGTCGGAGCAGAACAGGACATTAAAATCCATTTCATTTTATTTATACTGTTACTTGGGTGGGGTTTTTTTTTTTGGGGGGGGGGGTTCATACCCAGCTTTTGAGCTTTATTTGCTGAGTGAGTGGTACTCACTTTTGCCCCTGGCCCTGACGATTGCAAGTAATGTATAGTGTGAAATGGTTAATTACTTTATAACCTTCTTCGTTTCAGTGAAGAAGCTGAAAGACAAACTGTATCTGTTATGCCAATGTTTTGTGGTCATGGTATTGGAGAATATTTTCATGGCCCACCAGACGTTATTCACTTTGGTAGGTTTAGATTTCTTTTACTGAAGTACACAATTTTATTAAAGGGAGAGAAATGGGGTTTAACATCCACTCGACACAAACTAGTTCATTTCAGGACTAACATATGGTTCAAGTTTATTTCAATAATTCGCTTGCGTGTAGTGGTCTTTAACAGTGGCAGGAAACCGGAGGACCCGGAGAAAACCCATGAGGTTGGACAGGCGACCCTACTCCTTGTCACATACAAGCAGGGAATCGAAACCTAGCCACTTGACTCAGTGACAGACCATATGATGCAACGCTTTAACCATTCTGACATCCAAGCACCCAATCTTATTAGGCACTAATTACCAGAAATCTCTCATTTTGAGAAATAGGGCCTACTACTTTTTTTTAACTAAATTAGTATTAGCTTGATAACGTTGAGAGAATACTCTACGAAACGTCGCCTTAAATACAGTAGTAGCTGTTTTCCATAACTATGTGTTTTGTTGTTAAATTAAAAACATTAAATATTATAGCACAATATGTATTTGCAGTACTGTCTTAAAATCTTATTTTAAAAAAATATTTTTTACAGATTCGTCATATAAAGATGATACAGTGATGAAAGAAGGAATGACTTTTACAATAGGTAATATTTTATATTTATTATGTAAATATGTGTAGTTATAATTTATTTGATACTGGTAGTTATTTACAAATATATATACTATTCAAAAAAAGTAGGGGATATTTGATTTTGGGGGCATAATACTAAAATATGCAAATGACTACGAAAAAAGTCACTATAGAACCTAACAGAAGAAACATTTCCAGTTACATGTGACGCCCAAACGCACCAATAGCTACCGCATGGAATGCAGGTGATGCTTGGGATCATCATGGGGGTCCAACCCAAGATTTGCACGACTCTGACTTTGAATGTTACAGTCATTGTGGCATTGAATTCCAGGGTGGAAACATCAGTTTAATTGTTTTAGTGACCAGAAAACAAATTTTGATATGCGTCGGCTTACCCAAAATGAAAGGTTACGTGCCCTTGGCATGCTACAGATCGGCACAACACAGGCGGTTGTGGCGCGGACGATGAATGTTTCTCAGTCTGTCATAAGCAGGCTATGGTCCAGATACCGTGATACACAATCTGTACAGGACAGACCACGCTCAGGTCGACCAAGGGCGACAACTCAAGCCCAGGATCGATTTATCCGTACCTTGGCCTTGAGAAATCGTGTCATCATAGCAAATCAGATCAGCGCTCGTCTTCAAACAGACACTGGTGTGAGAGTGAGTGGCCAGACGATTCGGAATCGACTGCATAGGGGTCACCTTCGCGCCCGACGTCCTCGCGTGATCCCTTGTTTGAGAGATCATCACATTCAGGCACGACGTCGTTGGTGTAGGGATCGTCAACACTGGGATAATCGACGCTGGAGCAATGTGATGTTTTCAGATGAGTCAAGGTTCACTGTTGATTTTTTGGACAGACGTAGGAGGGTGTGGCGTCGTCGAAACGAGCGCTTCCAAGACGTTAACGTCATCAGACATGATCGATTTGGGGGTGGTTCTGTTATGGTGTGGGGAGGCATCACTGTTGCTGGAAGAACGGCTTTACATGTTGTTGCAGGGCGTGTTACAGGCCAGTACTACCGGGACAACATCTTGGCAGTCCATGTTGTGCCGTTCGCACGACGTCATGGCCGCCGTTTCATCTTCCAGGATGACAACGCAAGATGTCACAGGGCCAGGATCGTTACAGGTTACCTCCAACAACAGAACATCACCACATTACCTTGGCCAGCACTGAGTCCCGACCTCTCCCCCATCGAGCATGTCTGGGACATGCTTGGACAGAGGTTACGTCAACGTCAACAACGTCCTGCCAATGTCCAAGAACTTGCTGCTGCGTTGCAACAGGAATGGGACAATCTGGACCAAAATGACCTTAGACGTCTCATTAGGAGTATGCCACGTCAGATCAATGCTTGTTTGGCAAACAGAGGAGGATTTACCCGTTACTGACTTGGTTGTGATGCTGTGGTAACTTTGCTGTTTGACCCCGGGTATCATATTACCCTTATAATGGTCAGTCTGTGCCTTACTTAGTCTAACGATCATTTGGAATAAATTGATGAATGTGAACTTCATTTCATTTTGTCATTTGTTTCTTCGTCAGTTTCATTAGGTGACTTTAATAACACTTAAAAATCAAATATCCCCTACTTTTTTTGAATAGTATATTTACAAATGACCAATCTGATTAAAATACAGATCTATATTTCGTTTAGTGTTTTATACTTTCGATGACCTACACTACATGAAGATCTGACAAGTTATAGTGGGGGTTCACGTCAGGGGTCAAACGAGTGGCTTTTGACCCTATGACATCAAACATTGATTAATCAATGTGTGTTGACGTTTCTAGTGGTTTACATAGTTCAGTGCATAAAAAGGCCAAGAACTCGCCATAACAGACTGTTTCATTGGTTAATTCCTCACATCAAGTAGAACGCCTGTTACATAACAACTCTTCCAGATCCTAGTGTAGTAAAGACAGGTAAAACTTAATTTTGAACTATAAAAACGAAACGAAATAGGATCTGTGTTTTAATCAGATTGACAAATGATGATAATTGCTTCAAAGGTAATTTTTGTATCATTGAAAAATAGAATATATTATTCACTAAAAGTAGTTAACAAGGCATCGATGAATCTGTATTGTTTAGTAAAATTTTAAACAACAGTTATTAATGTTAGTTAGTTTTATACGATTTAAACAAACTATTCAAGTATTTCTTTTATATTGTCAGAGCCAGTTATAACAGAGGGCAGTGATGAAATTGAAATATTAGATGATGGCTGGACGGCTGTGTCTGCAGATGGGTCTAGATCAGCCCAGTTTGAGCATACAGTATTAATAACTTCAGATGGTGTAGAGATTTTGACACAGGAATAGCAGTTAATTAAAATATGATCAGTATTCTAGTTCAATTATATGTGCCTTGTGTAAATAAAAACAATTACGGGTGTGATACTGTGTGTTTAATGGTAGTTGTATGTTTCATAAAACTGTTTCTTCAGCTACACATTGAAAATAAATGATTCAAAAAATAGTTTTAAATGCTCACTAGGTTTTTCTTTCATTTTCTTGTTGGCCATTATGGTAAAGATGATCTCTATTGATTTTTGGATATTTCTGCAGAAAGTTCCAAATTTTTTCTCCTCACATAACATACATTGCAATATTCCTACTATGAGATCTTTTGGAGCTTATTCAATGACTCATTGTCATCAATATTCATCAATTATTCATTTATCGCCCCTGCAATCCAATCCTTGTGATCGCTCTACAGGTCAGCCATTTTAAGATTTTTGGTAGTATATATTCAGTAACTCATCAACATGAATCCTATCCAAATTCAGATCCATTTGTTACTGCCCTTGTTATCACTCTACCAAGAACTATACTACACTCATGATCCCTTAATATACATTGTGACACCATTCGGATGTACACAAATGAATGCATTGTGGTTGACACTGGTATGCACAGATAGAGAGAAATGGGGTTTAACAACTCCACACATACTAGGTTATTTTGAGACTAACATATTGTACAACTGTTTTCAATACAATCTTTTGTTTGCGCGGCCCACGATGTTGGACAGATGATAATACTCCTTGTCTCACATAGAAACATGGTATTGAAACCATGCCCCTTAACTCAATGACCAACCTTGCAATCTAAAGCACAAGGGTTAGACCACTTGATCAGCCAATTTCACCTCCCTTCCCCCACCATGTACAAATAAATAAATGAAATGAAATGGGGTTTAACGTTCTACTCCGAACTGGGCTAATGAACATGGGCATACGCCATACAGTGTGCTATGAGGGAAATTTTGCCCGTACAGTGGCACAACGGCCTACTCTTATATCGAATTCCAACCGTCAAGGGATCTTTACGTGCACACCAATGTGTACAAGGGACCTTGGTTTTTCATCCCATCCAAACAACTAGAAAACTGTCCTTGTCAGGTCCTGCATCACTTACAAGGGGGAACCATGCTGGAAAAATTGGGATGAACTCTCTCAGCCAATGCAGGGATCGAACACCCAACCTCTAGGCTAGCGAGCCAGCATCTTACCCACTTGGCCACCGCGACCCCCCCCCCCCCACAAATAAATAAATAAAGAAGATATAAGCCACCTATAATAAATAGTTTAATAAAGGAACTTTCCTTATAATATAAACAATTGTATATAGTAGCACTTATTTTAATATCAGGAATCAATGGCACTGAGCTATCAAGCTAACAGAAGGAATATTGTAAAATTATAAATATCCTTTAAGTAAATCAAAGTTCAGATTTTAATCTGTAAACAAATAAGACAAAACATCAACCACACAAGATTTAATAGTTTATATGAGACATGCTTTATTTCATCCACTCTTGTTCCCAGTTAATAATTGTAACACTTTAGTCGCCTTTTCACGTACTTCCCATGTACCATCCTCATTAAGTCTGTTAGTTGCTATTAGTAACTCCTCAGTATCCGATGTGGATGTAAGATTGAGTGCACCACCTTCTAAAAAAAAAAGAGGATAAAACTATTATTAAGATTCAAGCAATGTATCCACACTCGCCAGGCTGCTACAATCACTGACAGGGATGACATCGGTGCAGCCTAATGAGCCCCCAATATTTACCTTTTTGCTTCTGCAAATTAAATTCTAGAACATTTATTTTATGCATTACAATAATAAATAAAGGTGTTTGAAGTATATGTAGATAAAACTATTGGTGACAATCTAAGCACACACCCCAATAAATTTTCCATTCCTGACACTTTGCCAGCAATTGTATGTCATGCTCAATGTTTATGAAAGCATTCACTAATATAATGAGTGGTTTATATAATATTAATACTGTGGCGTCCATCAACAATCTTGATTCTAAAATTGGGCGTCTAGATGCAGATATATTCAAGCGATATATTCATTTTAAAAAATATATATGGATTTTTGTTGCCTCTCATCACAGGTGGACTGACATAGGTGACAGCCATATGCCACCACAATCAAATTTTTATACATTATATAAAGTATTATTACCTGTCAGTTTAAGTAATAAAGTTTCTATTATAGCTAAACCATTGACTCTAAGAGCTGAATATTTGGTTGAACTCCCTGAAACAAAATAAAGAAACTATACATTTTAGTATGATCTAGGGAAATTATACTGATATACAGATACATCTTTTGTCAATAGGACACATAAAGGAGTAAGCCCATTGCTGAAAATAATGTGGTGATGGATTGATTAATGTGAGATTCACTTTACTGTTTATTTGAAATACCAATAACAAAGTTAACCAAGTTATATTTCTTATAGAACAGTATTTTCCCAACTCTATTTTTGTGTGCTTCAGAGATCATAAAAGTTAAAACATTCTGCCATGTAATTTTTGATAATAAAAAAGTCTATAGATATATGTACCTAATAATGGAAGAACAGCCTGTATTATTGTAGATATATTGTCACTTGTTTCTTCATTTGTTGATTGTATTGAATCTTTCTGTAGGACATGTAATCTACAAAAAAATATCACATAATTTACATGAAAACATCAACTGAAAACGTCCATTAATATACCATATTTGCAACTAGACGTTGATTTCAGAGTTTGAAACTAAACTGATAAAGATAGAGTGCCATGTAATGAAATATACGTCCAAGAAGTCCAAGACTGTAACATTTTTATGGGAGCATATGTGATCACGGGAAACTATCTATGAAGTAATTATTAGATATAGTTAAATATGATGAGCTTAATAGCACCAACATAAAACAAATTATGTATCTGGTAATCAGAACTGTGCATAAATTTCAAGTCGATCTGATGATAACTTTAGTTTCTAAGGGGGTACTCGATTGAACATTCCAGAATTGAATTCTCTCAATCCCAAAAATAGTGACAATTGAGTGAAAAGGGGTATTTCGTGATACAACGTTATAAGTAAATATCTCCACCAACCATGCAGCCGAAACATATTCGTTGTGTTTAATTACGTCACAAATCTACTCACACCACATAACTGTGATGGGACTGAATTCCACGTCACTCGATTGCAATTCTATCAATTCGAGATGTTCGGGACTGTGAAATAAGCATCCCCTAATATTGTCGACAAGATAAGGGTGGCCATAACTCTGACAATATTTATCAGATAAGCTTTGTCATCTCTTAAACACAAACAATATGTCTAAAATTTCAGTCAATCAGATGTTAATGTTAGTCCTACGAGCCCAATGGACAAACAGACAGACAGTGGTGATGACAATACAGTGTGACCAGCTCTGCATGGGTCGATCAAAAAAAAAATCAAAACTATGCATAAATAAATATTCTGTATTCATAGATTTTTCAAATGACATGTGACAAATTCAATTTGAGAAACATATCATGCTTTACCTTTCAATATATTTCTGTAATGACTTTAAGATTGATAACTGAACTTTCCACGTACTGACAGGTAGGGATATTATCAATAGATTTAAAAATTTCTTCTCACACTCTTCTAAAAAATCAAAGAGAAATAATGTATTAGTGAATACAGGATAGTACTCATATTCATCTACATGGGGCTTTTATTCATAAATACCAAATTCATCCATTTTATTGGCTAAGAACACTACTGATCAAGCGCCACATCAAGTTTTATTTTTCCATCATCAGTCATTCTACATACATAAAAATTCACTGTAAAACTTATCAAAACTACCAGCCCCCCAAAAATATCTTGTACCAAAGTCATGATATCTTTCAAAGGACATCACCATTATGTAGTAGTACTCTAGCATGACGTTGAATAGACAAGTACTCGTCGCTAAGTGTTGCAATAATTAACAAATCATTGTGGTAATTTGTGTTGATAATCTGAGAGATGAACATCTATAAAACAAACATCTGATGCAAAATTTACATTTAAACTAACCTTGAACAGCTGGTGTATGTGGCCAACATTGACCTATTGATAAATATATACATTCACATACAGTCTGTTTCATATTACTACCCATATCATCATCTTCATCACCTTTAGTTTTACTCTGACTCTATAATATAACAGCTATATAAATGTCCAAATCTTAAATAGTAATGTGATTAATTTGATGTAATTTTAAGGTCATTCCATCTACCTGACAAACAATGCTATTTATTTAACCAGCGGACATGGATAAAGTTATTTATTCATCAAGACAAAATACATAGAACTCAATAATCATTGAATACTGCTCAGTTTATTTAATGGTCATTGAGTTCTGTTTTTATTCTAGAACTACATGTAAATCTCAAAATACACTGTACTATCCAGATTATCAAAAACAAAATCACCAATAAAGTTAAAATTCATCATAGGTTCCGCCCTTTTTTACAAAAATTGTGGTTGCTAGTGGTGACGTCATTACAGTTTGACGTAATTCTGAAAGTGATGTCATTCTGGACAAAATTAGTACGTGTCCAAGCCATTGAATACAACCATAGGTTAGTCAATGGCTGTATTCAATGATATTTGCTTGTATTTGCATGTAGTTATAGAATAAAGTGATTTATTCAACACGACTATTCAAGACTATTCATGGCCATGTTCTCCCATAACGCTCTATTTCTATACTATTCAAAAAAAGTAGGGGATATTTGATTTTGGGGGCATAATACTAAAATATGCAAATGACTACGAAAAAAGTCACTATAGAACCTAACAGAAGAAACATTTCCAGTTACATGTGACGCCCAAACGCACCAATAGCTACCGCATGGAATGCAGGTGATGCTTGGGATCATCATGGGGGTCCAACCCAAGATTTGCACGACTCTGACTTTGAATGTTACAGTCATTGTGGCATTGAATTCCAGGGTGGAAACATCAGTTTAATTGTTTTAGTGACCAGAAAACAAATTTTGATATGCGTCGGCTTACCCAAAATGAAAGGTTACGTGCCCTTGGCATGCTACAGATCGGCACAACACAGGCGGTTGTGGCGCGGACGATGAATGTTTCTCAGTCTGTCATAAGCAGGCTATGGTCCAGATACCGTGATACACA